TCATCAAGCAAATTTCACAAACACAATTAACATTCAATTATAAAATTAGATTTTCCTCAGTCATCTCAAACCTTTGAGAAGTCAAAAATTTACTTTTCACACTTCCAAAGCTTCTCCCAAGATTGAATTTGTGCCAAATCGAATCACACTACAATCATACACAAGGGTATCATCACAATCACACTCTTAGGGAATTATTAACATTAATTCCACATTTTCTCTATTTTACCAATCTCATAAATCACTACCCATACATAACTAATGGGTTCATTAAGTTCCTTTGACTTACATTACTACTAATAAGTCATTAAATCATTATTAATGGTCTACCAATAGTTCCAACAACCATATTTATGTTAATTTCAAATGTTTATTACTCCTATGCACCAAACACTTCAAAAATCATTAGTGTTGTATTCTAATACTCTAAGCAACTCTCATTATATCTATTTTAACTAATGGAATCAGACTCATAACTCTTATGGACCAAAATCAACTTTACAACTCAAATCCTAACTTAAATCTTCATAAATGAGGGAGAGAAAGGAAGAAGAAGGTATAGATTGCTTACCTTAGTGTTTGAAAGCTTTAATCTATCACCAATATGTTCCAACAACAAGCCCTAGCAGAGCCAAAATTGAGCTCTTCATTTTCTTCCTCTCTTATTCTCTGATTTTCGAATAGACACGAAATTGATTTATTAGATTTTTATTCATGCACCACAACAATTGGCACAGAAAGGCCGTTATATTTGAACCTAACCTTGTGCACTGTGGTAGATTGACCACAGGCTGTGGCATATGGCACAAAGAGCATTCCTTTACTTTTTCGTCCTTTTTCCTTGCTCGGGTAGCCTGCCATTGATCCAAACCCACTTGTAAAGCTAAAATTACAATAAATTACATCAATTAAGCTTCTTTGGCCATACACCTCATTAACTCACTAATCACATTCTTTAAGTCAATAAATTATGATTAAATTTTCTTGGATGTTACAACTCTCCCCTCCTTTTAAGAATTTTATCCCTAAAATTCGATAAATCAAGTAAATCTTACCTTATTGGAAAAGATAGGGATATTATTGTCTCATTTTCTCTTCTATTTCCTAGGTAGCATCTCCGGGAGTCATTCCTTTTCACATCATCTTCACTAAGTAAATAGTTTTGTTCCTTAGCTGCTTATCTTTCACATCAGCTATCCTCTCCAACTTAGTCTAGTAAGTTAAATTCTCCTGCAGTTCCACTTCTTCTGGTTCAATTACATAGGACGGATCGGGTTAGTACCTTTTGAGTTATGAGACATGAAACATGTCATGTACACTTGATAAATGTGAAGGTAATGCAATCTGATACGCCCAAAGCCCAATTCTCTCTAAAATCTCAAACGAACCAATATAACTGGGAGTCAACTTCTTTACTCAAATAGACCTCCCAATACCAGTTATAGGCGATACCTTTAAAAATACATGATCACCAACTATAAATTCTAGCAGTCTTTTTCTCTTATCCACATAACTCTTTGCTGATTATAGGCAATCAATAACTTTTGTCTGATTATCTCTATCTTTTTTGTAATTTGATTTACTAAATTTGGATCCAAAATACTCCTCTCACTCAGCTTAGTCCAGTAAAAAGGTGATTGATACTTTTGACCATACAAAGTTTCATAAGGAGCCATTTGAATACTCACATGAAAATTATTATTGTAGACAAACTCTGTAAGTGGCAAGTGTTTATCCTAACTTCCACTAAACTCAATAGCACATACCTGCAACATCCTTGGGAGTTTGAATTGTCCTTTCAATCTAACCATCAGTCTGAGGGTGATAGGCCGTACTAAACTTCAACTTAGTACCCATGACCTGGTGTAAAGCTCTCCAGAAGTTTGATGTGAATATCAGATCGTAATCTTATACAATCTCTTTTGGTACTCCATGCAACCGTACTATCTCTTGGACATAGACCTCAGTGAACCTCTCTAAGGCATAGTCTACTTTAACGACTAAATAATGAGCTGACTTAGTTAATCTGTTCACAGTTACTCATATAGCATCATAATTTGCCTGAGTACATGGCAATCCTATTATAAAGTCTATAAACACGCTATCCTATTTTCATATTGGGATTTTTAAAGGTTATAGTCACCCAGGTGGCTTATGGTGTTCTATCTTGACTTTTTGACACGTCAAACACTTAGAGATGAATTTAGTCGCACCTCGCTTCATTCCGTGCTGCCACCACCACTTCTTCATGTCTTGGTACACTTAGTAGCACCAGGGTGGATAGTTAGCTTACTCTTGTAAGCTTCTGACAAAATAGCCTCTCTTATCTCTTTATCATCTAGAACACACACTCGATCATGATATAATACAAAACCATCATCACTGAAGCCAAAAGTCATTGTCTGATTTTCCTCAATGTCTTCCGAATTTCTAACAAGTACTCATCTTCTAACTGTGCCTTTCTCAACTCTTTCCAAAACTCACTTGTGATTAACATACATTCAAATTGTATGACGCGAAATCAGGGACATTCTTGTGCTCATTAGAGAAATCCTCTAGCATCTTTTGCTCTTGCATCTTCATGAATGCCACTTGTAGCGTCTTCTGGCTCAGTGCATCGACTACTACATTAGCCTTTCCTAGATGGTACTTCAACTCAAAATTGTAGTCCTTCAGGAACTCTATCCATCTCCTCTATCTCATATTCAATTCTTTCTGATCAACTAGATATTTGAGACTCTTGTGGCCACTATACACCTCAAATTGTGCACCATACAGGTAATATCTCCATATTTTAAGAAGCAAACACCATTGTCATAAGCTCAAGATCATAGGTAAGATAGTTCTCCTCATGCGATATTAATTGTCTTGAAGCATATGTCATAACTCTGTCATCTTGCATTTGCACACACCCAAGGCCCTTAAGCGAAGCATCTGCATATACCACAAATGGCTATTTCATATTTAGGATAGTCAAGACAGGTACAGTCATCAACCTTTGCTTCAACTTTTAAAAAGCCTCTTCACACTTGTCAGTCTATGTGAAAGGCTGATCTTTCTTAGTCCTTGGATCTTTGTCACAGAGGTTGGTGTTTCTTATTGTAACATTGCATCAACCTTGTGAGGATCAATTGCAATACCATTAGTTGACACCATATGACCTAAAAATTTTACCTCACACAATCAGAACTCACATCTACTCAATTTCGCATAAAGCTTCTTCTCTTTTAAGATCTGTAACACATTATATTGATAGAAATTCAAATGTGTATGCTAATTATTTAGCCAAACTATCTCATAAATTAGATGTAAGCCTCTATATATTTGATCATCCCCCACCCTTCCTCTAAGAAGAGGTGGGTTATGAGAATGTTAATGATAGACCTAATTTTTATGGGTTGACACTACTGTTGAATAGCACTAAAATCAATAAAAACTAGATTTTGCAGTAAAGCGCAACTTAGGTCGTCTCCCTAAGAGTCAACAGAATAACTATTTAAATTATGATTATGAAAATGTAAATAATGGGGGGTTTTTTATGATGAAATTAAAAACTAAATTAGAAATAAATAAATAGAGGAAATTTAACTAAGAAAATTACCAAGAATAAGCAGCGCAACTAATCACAGCCCAATCACCTAAATTTAATCATCCTTGTCCACAAAATAAATTAATTTTATTCAACTTTATTATTCTAGTTTTATTATATATTTTTCAAATTATCATTCAAGAATTAAACAAGAAATTAAGTTATAGATTAATTGAGATCTCCTTTAACCTACAATCTAACAACTGTTTTATGTTAGCCACACCAAAAACAAAGCATGGATAATCAACTAAGTTAGGCTAAATTACTCTTATGTTATTATATCAATCGATTATAGCAAGCAAAACCTCAGATAAAATTTACAACTCAAAAATTATGCAATAAAGCTACTTTAATCAGCAATAACAGTTAAAACATAAAATTCAGAGGTAAAAAAAAGAAGAAAAAATTGAAATAAAGCTAAAATAGAATCTTCCCTAAATATCAAAGACTCTGATTAAAATTTAAAATTATAATTTATAATTGATCATACTAAAAAAAATTTAACTATTTATAAAATTAAAAATTAAGAAATATGAGATGAAAAATTAACAAGCCATTACTGAAGGAACTGAAGAAAAAGTGAACCACAATCGCTGCCTTTTTGTCCGTGATGCCTCCATCCTATTATATATATGTATAAGGGGATCACTTGCGTACGGCTAGCCAAAAGTTAATAATAAAATGATAAAATTACTCTAAATAATCCTAATTAAAAATTACACTAAATCACTCAAAATAAATTCAAATAAAATTTTAAAGATTTAATTCTTGATTTAATCTTAAAATATGCCCATATTCTTCTTATACAATATATTCTCTATCAATATCTTTTAAATTAAATTTAAAAAATCTGCATAAATAAAATAAAATTAAATAACACCTATGTAAAAATATTAAAGATATTATTTATATTTTAAAATTAAAGATTTAGTTAGTTAAAATCTCAAAACTAAATATTAATTAATAAAATTAAATAATATCTAATTAAACTTAATTAATTTTAAATAAATATATAAAAATTTAAAGTAAAAAAATAAAAATATATAAAATTATCATTTATTATAGGTGTTCGTTAATTGTTTTATGAATACATTAAATTCAGTAAAAAAAATAAAAAAGAAAAGAGAACGGAATGATCTTTGTTATAAATATTCTAGTGATTGCCAACTCCTGTATTGAGATAAGGGTGAGGTTCTTTTTTTTTTATTTTTTCATTGTAATCTGAACCGTTTATATTAAGTTTGTACTTTTAAAAGTTATTAAATTTAAATTTTTAAATTTAATTTTAACAGTTTATATTTGCATTTATTTTTTCACTTCAATCCGTCACCGGGGAGAGAATCTAACTCCAGCAAGATGCCTAATCCAGCTGTTGCCTGGTGGCCTTCGATCCTAATCTTGGCGTGCAAGACACGCGAATCCCGCATAACATTACGTCACACGCCAACTCTTCAATGTTCGTTGATAAATATAATCCCATCGCAACTTTCCTTTCCATTTCGCGCTGGGTTTGATGCTAATTAGTGGAAGAGTCTTAACCTCTCTTCGGAAGTCCTCCTATTTGCAAGGTATTTTTTCAATAATTTTATTCCTTTCTTTTCTTCATAGTTACTGGATTATATAGGATTCTATTTGTTTGCTTGTTCCACATGTCTTGATCTGCTGCTGGTTATTAATTAAAGATTTCCCTTAAAATTTAATTAGGGTTTTGGTGTAATTTCTATCATTTCAGCGATTGAGTTTCATTTGATGTTTTAATTTTCTTTTCTTCCTATTGCGTCTTTTGATTGAACAGATGCAAATCTTTGTGAAAACCCTCACCGGCAAGACCATTACCCTTGAGGTGGAAAGTTCCGATACTATTGACAACGTCAAAGCTAAGATTCAAGACAAGGAAGGCATCCCTCCTGACCAGCAAAGGCTTATTTTCGCCGGCAAGCAGCTGGAGGATGGACGAACACTTGCTGACTATAATATCCAGAAGGAGTCGACCCTCCATCTTGTCCTTCGTCTCAGGGGAGGGATGCAGATCTTTGTGAAGACTCTAACTGGCAAGACCATTACTCTTGAGGTCGAGAGCTCTGATACGATTGATAATGTTAAGGCTAAGATTCAGGACAAGGAGGGGATTCCACCTGACCAGCAAAGACTCATCTTTGCTGGCAAACAACTCGAAGATGGTCGCACCCTAGCTGATTACAACATTCAAAAGGAATCTACCCTGCACTTGGTTCTGCGACTCCGTGGTGGTATGCAAATTTTTGTGAAGACTCTGACGGGGAAGACCATAGCTTTGGAAGTTGAAAGTTCTGATACGATAGATAATGTAAAGGCTAAGATACAGGACAAGGAGGGTATCCCCCCTGATCAGCAGAGGCTTATCTTCGCTGGGAAGCAGCTGGAAGATGGGCGTACCCTTGCTGATTATAATATTCAAAAGGAGTCCACGTTGCATTTGGTTTTGCGACTTCGCGGTGGGATGCAAATATTTGTCAAAACTCTAACCGGGAAGACTATTACCTTGGAGGTTGAAAGTTCAGATACAATTGATAATGTTAAAGCGAAGATCCAGGACAAGGAGGGAATTCCCCTAGATCAACAGCGGCTTATTTTTGCTGGGAAGCAGTTGGAAGATGGTAGAACTTTGGCTGATTACAATATTCAGAAGGAATCTACTCTCCATCTTGTCCTCCGTCTTCGCGGTGGCTTTTAAGCGTCGTCCCAGAGTCTAGTGCGGGTCTGTCGTGTACTCGTATTTCTTTAATTGTCAAGCATTAATTTCTGGCAGCCCTTTGGTCAGTTGATATCATGTTTTAGTATTTGAATATTATTAGTCCTTGAAAAGTGTCACGGCTTAGTCCTTTTAATTGATAATAAATGTCCTGGTCTGGTTCCGTTTCTCGTTAGACTTTGATGTTTTACAGGTCTGTTCTGTGTGGTTTTTACAGATTTGTTGACTGTAATTAGTGCAACGTTATGAAGTAGTACTTGCGCTTCTTGGCATTTTTTAATGTCATGTGGAAAGCAGAGATTTTATTCTCATTACAATGGGCGCTTCAACAAAACAATGGCAAAGTCATAGTCACCTGCATAGTGGCTTACAACATTGCCTAAAAGATCACTAGTGATGATCTTAGTTTATTACAGGTAGATAGATACGCTAGCTCAATTTCTAGTAGGCGTAGGTGAGCGACAACATTGTTAGAGCTTACCTAGATTTCAATGCCACCCAAATCACACCTAGGAAGTTCAATGTCGCACCGTTCTGGCAGCCTCTGAAGCTCACGGAGGAACTGACGCATCTCCCTTCCCTCTAGTTCAGAGCCCTGCCTCTGCATGATCCTCCTCAAGGCTTGGCACTGGCAGCTCCGGTCGTTTATTTCTCTGAACTGCTCACAGCACTCCTCGAGCTTTTCATTCCCCTTGGTGCGAATCCCACGCAAGGCTATCACGTCCTGTTCCTGCCCACTGCATTGCTCCTTTATGTAGCGTTCACACGGCCTCAGGTTAGCCTTCTGCAGCTTCTGGGTGCACTTCCCCTGCCCACGGCTCCACCAGTCGGGGTTCTCTTCTTCGATCTCTACGGCCGTCACAGTGGTTGTGTAGGCGGAGACGGTGACAGTGAGGAAGAGAAAAGCGGCCAGGAGAATCGCCAGCTTCGCCATTGTTGATGGTTATTGTACGTGCTTGTAGGATTTCTGAGTAGCTTGTTGCTTGATGGGTGTGGCTTGTGGTGGAAAGGAGGGAGCGTTTTATAGCAAGGGTTGGGGTATTGCATGACGGGTACGTGGAGGAAGAGAAGATCGATTTTGTTGAGGTGCTAGGATGCTGTGTCAAGCGTTTGCCTCCATACGTGTCTATATTTCCACGTAAGGCACTTGGCTTGGCTGCATGCGGATACCAAATTCCAATGTGTCGTTCTCTGTCTTTATCAGGATATTACTTGCATGCAAGCCTATATTGATTAACAACTATTCATGCTTTCTCGATCAATTCCAGTATCAGTTTTTTCGTATTAAATTAAATTGAAGCCCGTCAGGTTGCCCGGGGTGCAATGTCAAACGAAATATTTTTAAGAATGATGGTTAAGAACACAGAAATATATTACATATTAATTCAAATTTCAAAATTTAAGTTTGAGTTACTTTTTTTAATTATGTTAACTATTAAACTCAATTTTATTGAGTTCTCCTATATTAAGTTAGGAATGGAGAGTGGTTGCTTAAAAGAAGACAAATAGGCAAAAATAGCATAAGCACGTTACATTTACGCTCAGAGTTCTAAGATTTAAGTTAATGAATTATTTCTCTTATCTCTTTATTATATGTTAATCATTGTGTTCAGCTTTATCAAATATGAAATTTCTCACATCAGTTTAAATTTATTCATATTTGACAACTTAATAATCTCAATAGGCATCACTCAAAAATTAAACATATAAATTCAGATATCACTTTATTAAAGATATTGTTATAATTGTTATGGTGAAGAAAAACCATACCTCTCAAAATTTAACAGATATGCTTAGGAAGCTTTTTTTTAAATTAAATTGCTTGAATTTAGTTAACATTTGCAGCACTTAATTAGTAATGAAGAGTATTACTGAATTTGACTTTATAGGAAGTTTGTTGAGATTAGTGTTCAAATTTCTATAATCTTTCGTAATTAATTTTATATATTATCTTGGTTTGAAGTCTATAATGACTCAACTATATTTATAATTGAGATTTTAGAGGATATTATTTATTAGTCAAGTGAATACTTTTAGCTTATGAAAAGCTCTTTATATACATATATATAGTCTCTCCATCTTTATAATAGAGATAATTATTGTAATTTTTATCTCCTATAGTGAAATTAAGCGCTTGTTGCTCGTGTAATTTTGCTCATCCCATTGAGAGTTTTCTCTTATCTCGTGTTAAATGTGCTGTATTTTTTATCTCTTCTTTTAACTTCTATATAATTTTTAATTATTTTATTTTTTTTATTTGGCATATCATTTATATTCCTAACGATGACTATAATATCTTTGTAGTGAAATTTATAAAGAGAAATATTATATGTCTAACAGGGTAGATTTATCTTAATTTAGAATACAAATGTGATAGAGAAATTGTGGCTTCTACGTATTAATAGAGTTAGGAAACATATAGGCCTTGGGTTATATGGGCCCAAGTCCTGAAACCTAATTTCCTTAAATTGTCCAATTTCTGAGCCTGTCCTTGTTCAAAAAACTTGGACTAGGTTGGGCACCAAAAACTGGTTAAAAAATTAAAATAAAATTCAACGTTATAAATTAATTAAAATATTTTAAAATTTTAATATTATAAATTAGTTTATTTTAAAATTAAAAATAAATTAAGATAATTTTGAAAATAAAATAAAAGAGATTTACGAGTTTAAATTTATCATCAATCTAAGGGCCATTTTTTTAAGATTAAAAAATAAATGATTTCTAATTAATTTAGAGATGTTGTAAAAAGAGATTATTTTGTAGAGATTTTATAAAAATTATACATTTTTTATGTTTGTTTATAATAATAATAATAAAATAATTATTATTTATTTATCGTTAAATTTTATGATATCTTGCTTGATTTTTGTTTTATAAAAATAATTTATTATTATATTATTTTAAAATTTAAAATTTTATAATATTTTTGTATATCCCACCTTTTGAAAAAACTCTCTTTTATCTAACACATTAAATTATTTTAAGTAGCTTCTTAAAATAATATGAAAATTTGCTTTTTTTAATTCTAATTATTTTTAAAAGTTTAAATAGACATGATAAAAATTTAAAAAATAAATTTAAAAAAAAGTGATTTATTCATGAAATAGGTTGAAACAAATAGGCCCTAAATCAAATTATTGGCATAACATCAGTCAATATTCTTCTCATGTGCCCTTGATTCGATTTTCTCCAAAATCTCCTCTTGTATGCTATGGCTGCCTTGAACTTAGCTTTTTGTGTATTGTCACGTAAATTTTCAATTTCTTCAGTTATTCCCGAAGAAGGATCTTAGGTAGCTAGGGGAATAAATACAAGAGCACAGTAGATCTCACTTGTACTATTCTTTAATTGCTTTACAATAGATCAGCAATTCAAAATGATATTGTTACAACATTCCAAAAACCTCACTAAAAATCACACAAAAATTCAAGCAAAATGAGACTTTGGCCAAAAACGGAGGAAATGAGATCGGCAAAAGTTAATCCTAAATTACGAAGGTCATAGCTACTATTCGAGTGATCCCATTGACATATTTTGAGGCACATAACTAGAAGGAATGAAGATCAAACACATATCTTCAAAGATCCGAGGAAGACTGGGGTAATGGAAAATCACATCCAATTTTAGCAACCAAAAATTCCCGAGAAAACAAGACATTCAGATCACGACATAGCACATGAACCTGTAAGTAACCACTACACAGAGTCAAAGGACTAGAAAAAAAGACAAAGGCAAGATCGAAAATCAAACTCAAAATGTGAGATCGAAGGACCAAAAACTTGAAGTGAGATGGCACCAAGACTGAGTGGTAAGACTGGGTGAAGCAAAGACTAACTGATGAGATCAGAGAGGGTGACTATCGTGAGCTCCTGAAGCCAAGAGTGATTGTCGAGTGAGACACTGAGAGCAACTTGCCATCATCGAGATCAAGGGGGAGGAGAGCACCGTTGTCCCTGGTCCGTTGCCAAGATCAAAAGGGGGAGGAAAAAGCCAGAGTAGTTTATGCCACGAGTCAAGTGAGAATGAGAGTAAAATGAGACGCATAGGGTTTTCTTTAGAGTTCAAAGCCAGAGTAAGGAAGCAGTGCATTTTGGAGGAAAAATTTGTCAAAAGAAAACAAAAATCGAGCTTGACAAGCTTTGCAAATCTGGGCCTTTTTCTGAACTTATCAAGGCCAAGTTTTGAAACTGAATTCCTTTAAAGATTATCAATTTTTTGAACCTGAATTTTTATAAAACATGCTTGAATAGGTGATTAGTTAAGTTTGATCCTTATTCTTAGCTCTACTTATCGTTACGTGAAGATGATATCACAAAAAGTGTTGTCATGGTTCTCTCTTAGATATGCTATTGTTCAATGTTAGTAAATCATTTTTTCCTTTTTCTTTTTAATTACTAATCTCTTCCTTTTTTCTTTCTTTCTTTTGTCAAAATGCTTTTAATTTATATTTAATCACATACATTAGTACTAAGACAGGGAGCAACCGTCCAAAATAAGAGGAAAACAAATGTTATAGTCGTGAAAAAATATCATATCTTAATTCAAAATCTTAATATTCAAGTTTATGATTCTTTATTTTATTATATATATATATATATATATTATTAAATTCATTTAAATTCTAACAATTTAATAATTAAGATGAACATAAGAGTTATGGGTTACTAAAACAAACCTAGGGAAAATATAATTTTTATTGTTAGCGAAATTTTTCACAAGAGCCAACTAACAAGTAACAATCTTTTACACCCTAGTTTGCAAGTTGGGATTGGGATGGGAGTTGTAGAAGTGAAATTTCAAAATTCACTTGTCTGGTGTGTAGGGATTCAATTTTTTAAAAAATCTAATTTCATTAAAAATCTCACTTCCATTCCATCACACAATTATATCTTTTCTCACTTAAATAAAATTTTTGTTTCACTTCCATCGCCATATTAGACTTTTTTTTTTTCAATATCACTCCCATTTCTATTTTCACTTACATTTTTATTTTCATTTTTATTAAAAACTCTTTTGTTTTACTAAACAGGGCATAAACAGGGATGAGAATGAAAAGACCTTTTTTTTTTTCTTTTTTTTGGCGTTGAGAACAAAGATGAGGACGGGGATGTTCCCCTTGCTCTTAAGGATAACCGTTTTGATTTATTCAATTGATTTGAAAAATTAATACTAAAATTCTTAAATAAAACTATATTATTAGATTTTGAAACTAAAGCGACAATTTATGATGAATTTGGTTGGAGATTTCTGAAGGAGATTCCCTCCAATTTGGAGCTTTTGGGAGGGGAGATAAGAAAGAAAATAATTGTTGATTAAATTACTAACTTATTATTTAAAAAATCTAAACTACCATTGATATTAAAAAAAATTATGCATTATCTTTTTCTCTCTACCTTCTAATAAATTAAATGTTATCACCTTACACAAATTAATCTATAATTTTTCAATGTCTAAAATTTTAATATTTTTTCATTAGACACGCTAATAAAATATAATATCAATGTATTTGTTAATCAATTTTTTTATTAATATAAATTCATATCCTTAAAATAAAAACTTAATAAATAACATAGTTTTTTTTAAATAATGAATCAAAGAAAAAAAATTAACATAAATTTAATAGGAATAAAATTGTTAACTAAATTTTGGTTTCCCTCCCCTCCCTTTTTGAACCAAAGAAAAGTTTATTAAAATCCTTTCTCCCCTCCTCTTTCTCTAAACCAAACACACCCTTAATATGTTCTTTTTGGTTGAAAACAATTTATTGTGTTAATAAATATTCTCAAAAATTAAATTGTATTTAAGATAGTATAGTGAAATTTAATTAGAATAGGAATTAGGCTAAGCCTTAAAAAAATTAACCTGAAAAGCCCAAAAATATTTTAGGATATGAAATTTCAAAGATTGATTCTTAGCTTGGGTCCGCAAGGCTGACCCTACTAGCCTGCGGCCCTAATGTTTTTTAATTCTTTTAATGCAAACACTTAATACATATATTTATAATAAAAAAGTATTCTGTATAAGATAAAGTCTAGAAAAATAAACAACTTAACATAAAATCAATCTACAGTTACAACAAATCAGTCGCATCACTTAAAAATAAAATTTGCACCACTAAAATATTATAATAATATAAATATACATAAAAATAACACAATAAAGACTAGAGACTATATATTTGCAATATCATCAGCAACATCATTATTATGATTTTCATTATCATTATCATCTTCTAATGGCATTAGATTAAATTGACTAGTGAGTTAATGTTTATTTTACTGTTTTAATTTGTATATTTTATTTACATTTTTCAAAAAAAATTTGGGCCTAAATTGACCAACCTTTTTATTTTTAAATTCATTAAGATCAATCATTTTAAACTTAAATATTCTTTATAAATCTTAAATTACAAGTTTGAGTTTGCCTACTTTATGAATTAGATGGCCTGGCCCGATGGCCCATCCCATTTTCTAGCTCTAAATTCAATCATTCAATCAATAAAAAAAACAAAATCATGTTTACTTGGCATCCCATTTAACTGATACCCCAGTGATATGTAGGCCTAAAAAGCTAAGTAGGAGGGGAAAATGTTTACATGAGAATAGCAAGTAAATAGACTTTTCTTTCAAAATTATAGTTAAATTAAAAGTTGGCTTTTGAGACTTTTACATTGGTTGCGCTAGGATCTAGCTGTTGATAACATTTAATATATTTTAAACTTATTGAACAATTTATTTATCTTTTCCTTCCCTTTCCACCATGGGTGGTACTTGAAAATATTTTTGATATGGAAATGTGACATTTTTATGATTATAGTGTTTTGCTTTGTATTGGTGCTTCAACTTTAAACCCAAACATATATACATGTACACACACACTATTTCCTTAAATAGTCTAATTAAATTTTTTAGTATTTATACATAATTTTTTTTAAAATAATATATTAACTCTATATAACATAAATTCATTTTTTAGTCATTGTATTAAACATTCAAACCTGTTTTTTTAATTAAATCATTCAAACAAGTTTTAATTTATTAAATTAACATTTTTTTATAAAAGAGTATTCAAATTAACATAAATCACATCATACTTATTATACCAAAAAAAAAATCACACCATAGTTAAACTTTTACTCCAACTTCAATTTATAAACTAGAGTTTATGCAAAATTTAGTTTTACAAATGTTAATTCAAATAAGCTTTTAATCATCAAGAGAGTGAGAAATAATTGATAGAATTCAGGAATCAAGTACTAAGCGAGTAGTAAATTTCAGCTGAGCAAATGGCAAATGCCCGTGCTCGGAATAAAAGAAGACGGCGTGTATTCTTAATCTAAAATTTGGGGTTTTGAATGATTAAGCCTTGAAATAAATAAATTGTTGTAATTATAAAGCTATCATGACATATCATTATGGCCACGCTTGATAGTTGAAACGAAATGAAATAAAATGGATTAATAAACGATAACATAATAAAACAATTAATGGATTGGTGAAGAAGTGATAATAACAGAACGAAAAGAGTCATGCACTGATGAATAAGTGAAAATGAAGATTAACGACTTTTTTATGTTAATTTCCATTTTTAATTTTCTATCACCCTATAACTGTCATCAATTTACCATTCTCATCTCTCTATTAATTCTTAATTAGCTTGGATCCCATTGCACGGACTTGAGATAAGAAGATAGTTTTACATACTATTGATTGCATCACCTTTTAAATTACATTTAAATCAATGATATTGAACACGTTCAGTAATTAAAAATAAAAAGTTTACAATGAATTAATGAAATATGATCAATCTAATTATATACGTTTGAAAAATTGTTTTGATTGGAAAATAAACCTCAAATAACTTCTAATTAAGAGAGAAGACAGTTATATAATATAATTCATGAAATTTACTTCAAAATAATTTCAAAGGAGATATTTTAAATATATTAATAGATTATATGCAATAACCAAATGATAAATCTCATTTTTAATAAAATAATTATTTATTTTTAAATTGATATTATTTTTTATAGTTATTTTTATTTAATAGGGAATTTAGTTTAAAATAAATATAAAATTATTTCTTTATTATGAATTTTTAAAAAATATTAATTATTTTTTTAAAATATTAAAAACACTTTACATTTTTTTTAATACTTAACTTCACAAAAAAAAAAAAAATTTCACATTTTTTTAAAGGCGCTTAATGAATGCTAGCAAAAGGGAAGAGAAGGTAGACTCCGGCTTATATATTTTTGCTCGGCAATTCTTTTTCGCTCTTTAACTCTCCCTCCAAGCAGTTAACACATCACAGATCAAGACCTCATACTGTGAGAGGGGATTCGGCTCATCTTATCCAGGCTTTCATTTATTCACCAGAACCTCAAATATCGAAAGGGTAAATCTACGATCAGGTTACAGCTGATCCCCCTCCCCCAAATTTAAAGATCTAATCCTGTTCCCATCGGATTTAGGGTTTTGGGTCTTTTGCCTGTAATTTGTAACATTCTCTTAAAATCTGATTAAGTTTTTATATACCAATTTCGATCCCCCCGCTTTATTAATTTTGCCTCCGTAAGTTCTTGGGGATGCAAATTTGTTGCTTGTTTTTTTTTTTTTTTTTGCTGTACATCGAATTGTTTTTGTACATATTGTATGGTGTAATACATTGGCTTAGGGGCGACCTGAAGACTTAGGGTGGCAAGATACTTCGTGCGTTTAAGTTCTTGTATATTTAATCTCGAGAATATGATTGCCAATAATAATAATAATAATAATAATAAAAACTCGAGAATATATGAAATCGAGTGAAAGGTATGGTGCAAAGAAATTATTTTGGAAGTTTTGCCTTTGTCGTTCAAATGAAAAGTTTCTACTTTGTAGTGATTAGTTCGTGCATGGGTAATTTATACTTTGGATTATCAGCGATGATATTTTGCTTTTTGTTGATGATTATTAGAGCTGGCAGGATTTCTAGCAAAAGCTTTGATGTTAATTGGCTTTTCATATTGTATTCTTGCGAAGCTTGTTCACGTTGTAGCAAAGTTCATGCGTTGCTCTCGTTCCAGGACCGAGCTGTTTGGTAGGACCTTCTATTTTGGAGAGCCAAGTTTCATGTCGGATCTAGACGCTCAGATTCCAACTGCCTTTGGTATGTTTGTAACTTCCTCATTTTTCAGTCTGTTGATTAATCGGAGTGCTTTATGATAAGAATCAGAAAGTCCTTCAACAAAAGATTTGGATATGTACGGTTGGTTAGGTTACTGGAAACGTTGAGATTCAGATTTTAGTGATTGGCATACCTTCTTTGACTCCCTAATATACACTTCTCTCAAGTTTTCTGTTGGTATTTTTTGTCCTCTTTTAAAATTATGCTGTTTTATCTTTTCATTTTCATGCTCTTTATATGTCTATATGATTTAGTTCAAGGAGTAGTTTCTATATGGTTGCTCTGATTCTCACTGGGGTCAGGGTTTGGCTCTGCTTTTAGCTGTTAGTTCTCAGTGATGTAAATTTCTCGTAACGTCAATTCTATTTCATTCCATGGTTCAACAGTATGTAAAATAGTTGCTTCATACTGAATTGGATTTGTGCCAACAATTTGTAGATCCGTTTGCTGATGCAAATGCTGAGGACTCAGAGGCTGGGACAAAGGAGTACGTGCATATTCGCGTACAGCAGCGGAATGGTAGAAAAAGCCTGACCACTGTCCAGGGACTGAAGAAAGAATACAGTTATAACAAGATACTTAAAGACCTGAAGAAAGAATTCTGCTGCAATGGTACTGTTGTCCAGGACCCAGAATTAGGACAGGTCTGTGTTGACATTCTCCCCATTACACAACGATCTGTTGCAAATATTGTTTCTTTGAATGATATATTTTTATATGTGCAGGTTATTCAGCTTCAAGGTGATCAGCGAAAGAATGTATCCACGTTCCTTGTTCAGGTAACCATGATCTTGGGGGTTATGCAGTTCTTGCTGTGGTGTTTTCATTGGTTTAATATTGGAAATGGAGAGAGAGAGAGAGTGACTTTCTTTGGGATAAGAAATCTTTATTACTTTATTGTGCTTTTGGGATTATACTGCATTAACTATTTTTCTGAGTTTTGGGAGCAATCTGGCAATACGAATGGTATGCAAGGTGGGTGTTTTTTTTTTTGATAAAATCAGAAGAATCCTTCAAAAGTTCATTGATGTTGCAACATATAGCTGGCCAGATGGCAATTGCTGTTAGTTTTTGCGTCTTTCTTTCTTGTATCTGGAGACTTTTGGTAATATCGACTTCTGATTGTGGATGGCTTGCCATGTCAAACATTAGATGTACCTGTAGCTACGTGATTCAGAACTGACTTAGCTCAATTTTAAATTTTGATGTAGTCTGCGCATGTTCAGAAGGTAGTTTAACATTTTTAAGAGCTGACAGGGTCTGAAACATTCATTCAACTGACGGTCAAGGTGATGGTTGATGCAACTATCTCCGTTGTAGTTTGTTCTAACTTTTGGTTACTTGGAATTGAACAGGCTGGAATTGTAAAGAAGGAGCAGATCAAGATTCATGGTTTTTGAGCTGCTGGAAACTTGAGTGCCAACTCTTACCTGTCTACACTTTGTTAGGCATAATCTGTTTTTTTTTTTAAGTATATTTACTGTCTTCTTACTTTTTGGCATCTGTTGTATGGGATCATGTAATATTATACGACATTGTGTTAGCTTTAATAACGAGATTCGAAGCTGTTTAAGACTCCATTATCTGATTTAGAAATCAGGTATAAAATGCACCCATATTGTCTTCTGTGCTCGGTTTGTCTGAGTAAAGTGAATTTTCACAGATCACTTTGACTTTTGATATTTAAAGTGACTATTGACTCAAGCTGCCCATGAGTGGAAGGAGAGCTGAGATATAGTAGGTGGAAAAATTCCGGGATTTAGTGGGGAGGAGGGAGGATTAATATGAACAACTATAACTGGTTTAATGATGTTATTAATACTTTCAAATGCTGGTATTGTTAAATAATCATTTATAAATTTTCATTACCTCGTTCCATCCAGTTTCTGAATCACTTGACACCACTTTTTCCCATGCTATTAAACAAATTTATGCGATCAAGGTTTGTAATTTTGTTGCAAAAGTGGAAACTTAACGGGGGAAAAAGTAATGAAATGCTTATGGTAGGTAAGAAAATTTCCCCCCTTTCTTCCTGCCCACGCCGAGGGGCCTAGAAGTACGAGTTTAGATAAAAATGAAGATAATAACTTGTATTTTTCTCGTTTATTTTCCTTAATCACGGAGGAAAAAACTGGGGGTAAGCTTTTGTCACATGAAGAATGGTGTGGACTGCGTGGTAGGGGCGTTCAAGCCTTCAAGGGGGAGGCTGTGGCTAGAAGACGAATTTGACAGTTTCCTAACTGCGAATCCGTGGTAATTTTGCTCCGAAAACCGCAATATCTGCCCACCGTTAAGTGTGAAACTCCCATTACGAAATATTACAGTCAATCCTGACACTCACCAGCTCACATTCTAGTTCCAAGGGGAATCACTTTTTTCGTTGGCTCTCTACCTCAAGTTCCTATGCTGCACTTTGAAACTCCATGTAATAATAAGCGATTACAATTTAAAATTAGGATACACTCCGACAAGGCGACAACTAGTTCAAAGTCTAATCCAGAGTAATATACCCGTGTTGTGTGATAAATTCGTCGGAACTTAAAAAAGGATCAGTTTTTACTCTTCTATTTTTTGCCAAACCCCAAATGATCAAATTGTTGGATCAATCACATGCTTGATGACCATTTTTTGGGCCTTTGAGGATGCCAGATTATCATTAACAATAGATTTTGTAACGATGAATGTTAATTTTTTTTTTTAATACCCGTTAAAATGATTTTTTATGCCAGCTCCAGAACTGGTGTAAATTATACTGTTTGAAAAAAATGATTTAAAAAATCAAGACTTTCTACGTCCATTCAGAAACTAGTGAAGAAAGTGACATTATTTTCCTAAAAAAAAAAAAGAAATGGGCATTTTTGGATTAGAGGTGATTTAAATTACCTCAAATCCAAAAATACCCTTGTTATTATTGCATATATTTTAATAAATTTCATAATAAATTTTATAAATTATAACAATTACATAATATTGATAATATTCACAATGTTCAAAATACAATAAATTTAATGATATTAAACTTAAGAATATATAAGTAGACAACATGAAAAGGAATATAGAACTTCATCATGGCCAAGCTAAGCATTTCAAAATATAATTACATGTCAAGTATAAAAAATAATGCACATCCCAATTCTATTAGATACTCATACTACAAAATCTTTTAAATTGGAAAAAAATTCTCACCTTCATTTCTATAAGAATATTACATTTGTTTGCACTTTAAATGGTACTGGGGTCTAGATAGGTAGAGCTTAATGCCATCTTCCATCACTTCGGCTCAAAGTCTGTCAATTCTAATCTCTTGCACAATACTAATTCCAACACAGCAGCAATTATCCGAATAACAACTTTTTTTGAGCAAAAGGTAAACAAATAGGCTTTTGTTATCCCAGTATGCCCATAAGGCAGTAACAACTATTGGTCAATTAAAATTTAAGCAGTAACTTACAAGAGAACAATGCTAATCTCCTGAGCACGGAAGTCATGCATTACTCAACACCTTGTTTGCACAGCTTCTTGGATAACTACGTATTAATCTTTTATCCAAAGTGCTTGTTGCAAGCAGAGATGCCTATACAAGGTAACTTCAGCAGTGAGCATTTCACATTCAGTTCTAAAGGACCCTCAGGAGAACTATGAACTGAAGCATATTATCCATTTGACTAACATAAATTACAAATTCCACGAGATAAAACAAGGCAACGGTATCCCACCATGTAATTTTCTTCAAATTCAAAAACTTGGCTTAAATAAAGAATCCTTCCTCACAAGGCAACTGTCTCCCGCCATGTAACTGCAACCTCAAAAGCACCCTGCATCTTTATTTATTTATATAATCAACCACACAGTACAGAAACACACACCCCATACCATACCCATTTGAAATTTGCTTCTGCTTTTTTAAATATGGGTTTATTTGCTTTTTCCAGTTTTAAATACGCATATATAATACAAATAACAATGATGCATTAGGGATGCTATCTTGACTGAACTCGTCATCTTAATCAACAACACTGTCCTCCCAGCCATACTTGCTCCGTATACGCAATGGTTAAATCACATATCATCATTAACAGTAGATTTTGTAGCAATATAATTTGTGGAGTGCGGCTGGCGCACTAGATATATATATATATATATATATTTTTAATTCAGCATTCAGCAATCCTTTGGATAGGCATCAGAATCAGAAACACCACTTTAGGATTTTTCTTGTCTTCACTTTGGCATAAATGACCCGCATAGCCAAACAATAAAAATAAAAGGAGCGCCAAATGACCAAATGATCCCCCTACTTGCAATATGATCCAAACAAACCAACTTTTCTGTGGGACACGTAGCTTCATAATCAAAAGACGACGATTGGAATTGATATTTCATACCATCTCTATCAAAACATGACGCTCCCTGATATTTCACATCCTCCATACGCAGACAAAAGATGAAGTATTTAATGGCAAAATATCGCAAAAAGCGTATGAGCAGGATAAAGACTCAGACCCACCGCGAACTCATCCTAACCGAACTGTGACGTCGTTCTTTCTCCTCTTGCTTAGCTTCACGGATTTCTTCCCTCCGTTAATGTTGAATATAACGCATAAATCAAAAATGATTCCATGATTCCAGACCCTTCGCATCCTATCCCATTTCACGTGACGCCTCTATCATTTCCTTCTTTTTGTGGATTTTTGTAATTATAATTTATAATTATTATTTTCAGTTTCACCTTCCGTCCTTTATGTATATAAATATCTGACTTTCTCTCTTGTTATCATCGAAAACCCAGTGGCTTCTACTTCCACACTCTTAGACTCTCAGAGAGCTTTCTCTATGGCAGCCATGGCTTCCACCGTAGTTCCCAAGCCTTCTCTCTTCGAGTCATCGTATCATGGCATCCCCTTAACCTCACACAGTAGCGTTCGCCTTCAACCTTTCAGGCTACCTGCCTCGCAGAATCTCTCGGTCTCTATGTCAGGCGCTTCACCTCCGCCCTACGATCTGAACTCTTTCAGGTTCGAACCGATCAAAGAGTCGATCGTGTCTCGAGAGATGACCCGCAGGTATATGATGGACATGATCAGCCATGCAGACACCGATGTCGTCATAGTGGGCGCTGGTTCTGCCGGGCTCTCCTGCGCCTACGAGCTCAGTAAAAATCCCTCCGTTCAGGTTGCCATCGTCGAACAATCCGTAAGCCCCGGTGGTGGCGCGTGGCTTGGCGGCCAGCTCTTCTCTGCCATGGTAACACTTATAAAGCCAGATGGCTTTTTTTTCTTTTTTTTTTTTGGCATTCGTGATAGGCTAATTACCACTTCGTCCCCCCTTAATCCCTTATTTAATCAAGTACTAGTAACAGTAACTGCTAATAAAATAGATTTTTTTTAACTTAACTATTTTTTTATCAATTTAACTTAACGATTTAAACACACATATACCCAAATATACATTCACAAACAAACTTAAGTACACATTTGAACTCATGACTATGACCTCCGTCACAAAGAAGGAGGATTTTATGCCACCAGATCCAAAGTTTTGACAATAAAATAGACATTTTGAAGTAACGCAGCGATGCCAGGGTTTTTTTGGGTGCCTTTTTGCCCTTTTTAACCCATATCTATAAAATAAAAAAAAAATACTGAATTGCATGAAATTAGAGAAAGAAAAAGGAACAAAAAACGAAACGAAAACTATGCCATTAATGCATGACTCTATTTTTGAAAAATGTGAGATCTTTACATTTTTAGACCTTTTTTTCAGATCTATCTAGGAAAAAAGTACAGAATAAATTTTTTATTTCAATTTAAAAAAAATAACTGACAGAAGCTCCCCACCCTTCCTCCAAAATTGGAAGTTACTCATTTTGAGTAATAAATTTTTTTGAAGATTAAACTGAGCCAAGTACAATGAATTTATTCTGGACAAAAATAGGTACAATGAACGTATTAAATTTCAGTGTTAAGTTAATTTTGGTAACAAACATGGGTAATAATTTTTTTTTTTTGGAAGATTAAACTGAGCCAAGCCGTGAATTTACTCTGGCCAAAAGTAGGGTATGGGTACAATGAACGTGTTAAATTTCAGAGATTAGATAATCTTGGTCGCATTTGACGAGATAAAACTGGGGAGAGAGACGTGGCCCCCACCGAGGAAGAATCTGGTTGACTGGTTCCCCCTTTCCGTCTATTATATTTTGTCTCTTGCGAAAATATTTACATTATGTTGTTTTGGCCTGTATCCAAAACTAGAATATTAAATTATCATGACTAGAGGACAATCCCGATCAAAACCAGAATTTCATTAAGCAGAAAAAGCATCTAATTAACGAAAACGGTGAGTGCAGGTGGTGCGAAAGCCAGCCCATCTGTTCCTGGACGAGCTTGGTGTTGAATACGACGAGCAGGACAACTATGTGGTAATCAAGCACGCTGCTCTGTTCACATCCACCATCATGAGCAAGCTGCTGGCTCGCCCCAACGTGAAGCTGTTCAACGCCGTGGCGGCGGAGGACTTGATAGTCAAGAACGGCAGAGTTGGCGGCGTTGTCACTAACTGGGCTCTGGTGTCCCTGAACCACGACACTCAGTCCTGCATGGACCCTAATGTCATGGAGGCTAAGGTGGTGGTCAGCTCTTGCGGTCACGACGGCCCTTTCGGAGCCACGGGGGTCAAGAGGCTCAAGAGCATCGGGTTGATCGATAGCGTTCCAGGAATGAAGGCTCTGGACATGAATGCCGCTGAAGACGCCATTGTTAGGCTCACCAGGGAGATTGTTCCTGGGATGATCGTTACTGGCATGGAAGTCGCTGAGATTGACGGCGCCCCAAGGATGGTATGTGTGTGCATTGACTGTGTGTATCTTCAGATTTAAATCTCCGCTTAATTTGAATTAGATTGTGATGTAGTAGAAAATGCAGTGGGTGATTGAATTAATGAATGCAGGGTCCGACATTTGGAGCGATGATGATATCAGGGCAGAAGGCAGCTCACCTTGCGTTGAAGTCACTGGGGCTTCCCAATGCTGTGGACTGCTATGTGGGAAATATCCACCCAGAGCTTATGCTCGCTGCTGTTGCAGATTCTGCTGAGATCGCAGATGCTTGAAACCTCATTCTGAATTCCCAGAACTAAAGAATATAATGCTAGTTTGATTAGTTGTTGGGGGGGGGGGTGGTAATGGTGGTGGTAGTGTGTTTATGCTTATATGCATGCTTAGAGTTCTGTTAATAAAATCATTGTGTTTGCTGAATTCCCTCGTCTAATTATTTGTGATCTTAGAACTCATTTTCGCTTTAGCTATAGCTACAATTAATTAAGATTATCCCCCTTCCACTGGACAGTGGTTAAAAAAGCATCCTGATCATGAACGAAGAACATTAAAAAACAATAATTTTTGTTCAACTTTAATATATAAAATTTACAAATTTTGCATAAAAATTGACAACTAATCTTACAAAAAGTTCCAAGTGATTGATTATTAATTTTCTGTACTAAAGTTGTTTAATCCTTCTAGGATAATTATAGAAAAAAGTCATTGATAAAAAAAAAATTTCCTCTTACTAGTAATTTTTTTTTTTTTTTTTGCAGCTTGTGTGCATGAATTTTGTAACTCCGCCTATGTTTATAGCCGGTCCCAAGCCCGGGTAAAGGAGGAGGGTTGTGTTAGGCCATCAACAGCCAATGTAAAAATTTGTTGAATCTATCATGAACATGGACAATAGACGTTATAATGTTAATGCTAGGTCGTTGCCCGTAAGTAACGCGCTGCATGGCTCGAGTACAGTGATAAGTGAGTTAGAGCCGCTGCATCGGCGCCCGGATGTAGTGTTAAATGAGCAAGGGCTACCGCGTCATTCTGGACGCACGCGGCTAAAGAAGTTAGTCCATAAGAGCAAAATTAGATTTGGTACTTGGAATGTTGGGACATTAAATTGTAAATCTGTAGAGGTTGCAGGGGTTATGATTCAAAGGAAAATCAATATCCTTTGCTTGCAAGAAACAAAATGGCGTGGAGAAGGAGCTAAGGATATTCAAGGTTTCAAACTTTGGTATACAGGAAAAGTAAGTGCACGCAATGGAGTAGGCATCATTATAGATAATGAGTGGAAGAAGAACGTTGTAGAAGTTAGCAGAACTGGAGACAGAATTATTTCTTTAAAAATGATAATTGGACGTGAGACTGTTAATATTGTTAGCGCTTATGCACCGCAAGTCGGGACAGAAGCCAGTCTTAAGGAATTATTTTGGGAGGATCTGGAGGGGTTGATTCGACACATACCACAGAGTGAAAAGATTTTTATTGGAGGAGACTTTAATGGGCATGTCGGGAGGGAAGCTGGTCAGTATGCGAGGGTGCATGGTGGTTTTGGTTTTGGAGAGCAAAAAATGAAGGGCAAACTCTTCTTGATTTCTCATTGGCGTATGATTTTAAGATTGTCCAACACTTGTTTCAAGAAGAGAGATGAGCATCTCATCACTTACAAAAGTGGAGCCTCAAGGTCGCAGATTGATTTTCTTTTGGTTAGGAACACAGATAGAAAACTTTGTAAAAATTGTAAGGTGATCCCTGGAGATGCTGTAACGACACAACATAGGGTCCTAGTCCTTGATGTGTGTATTATGAGTAAAATCCAAAAACGTCGACAAGTAGTAACACCAAAGATTAGGTGGTGGCAATTAAAAGGTGAGAAGCAAGATATTTTCAAGCGAAATCTTTTAGATAAAGGAATTTGGGATTCTCAGGGAAGTGCTAACATCATATGGGAGGATATGGCTAAAAAGATACGGGAGGTTGCAAAAGTAGTTTTGGGAGAATCAAAAGGTTCTGGTCCGAGAGATAAGGAGTCTTGGTGGTGGAATAATAGTGTACAGGACAAAATCAAGTATAAGAAGAACTGTTTTAAAGCCATACATTTGTGTAACAATGAGGAAAATTGGGAGAGGTACCGTATGGCTAAGAAGGAAACTAAGAGAGCTGTGGGTGAAGCTCGTTCCAAAGCTTTTGAAGAATTTTATAAGAACCTTGAGACGAAGGAAGGAGAGCAAAATATTTATAAGATTGCCAAGAGTAGGGAAAGAAAATCAAGAGATCTAGAACAGGTAAGGTGTATTAAGGATGAAGAGGGAAGAATTTTAGTTACAGATGATGAAATTAAAAATAGATGGGAGACTTATTTTTCTAAACTTTTCAATGATGGAGAGGATTCATCTAGTAACTTGGAGGATTTAGTAACTGGTGAAGGAGAACAAAATTTGTCATTCTATCGAAAAATACGTGATAAGGAGGTAAAGGAAGCTCTTAAGAAAATGGCAAATGGTAGAGCTAACGGACCTGATTGTATATCTATCGAAGCGTGGAAATGTTTAGGTGAAGAAGGGGTGAGATGGTTAATTGAGTTATTTAATGTGATTTTACGGTCCAAGAAAATGCCTGATGAGTGGAGGAGAAGTACATTAATTCCTATTTATAAAAATAAAGGAGATATTCAGAATTGTACTAACTATAGAGGGATTAAACTCATGAGCCACACAATGAAATTGTGGGAGAAAGTAATTGAGCACAGGTTGAGATTGGAGACAAGTATTTCTGAGAATCAATTTGGTTTTATGCCAGGTAGATCAACTACAGAGGCAATTTATCTACTAAGGGGATTAATGGAAAAGTATCGTTGTAAAGATAAAGATCTACACATGGTTTTTATTGATTTGGAAAAAGCTTATGACCGTATACCAAGAGAAGTGCTTTGGAAAGCGTTGGAAAAAAAGGGAGTACGGATTGCTTATATTAAAGCCATACAAGATATGTATGAGGGGGTAAAAACTAGTATAAGAACGCCTAGTGGTCAAACAAAGGATTTTCCTATAAAGATTGGACTACATCAGGGATCATCTCTGAGTCCTTATTTGTTCAACTTGATTTTAAATGTTTTGACGGAACATATTCAAGAGGAAATCCCGAAATGTATGCTCTTCGCGGATGATATAGTTCTTATAGCAGAGACAAGAGAAGAGGTTAATTGCAAACTTGAGTTATGGAGGAGGACATTGGAGTTGAAATGTTTTCGTCTGAGTAGAAGTAAGACGGAATATTTATATTGTAAATTTGGTAAAGGACTATTCGAAAATAATTTGGAAGTGAAATTGGGAGATCAAATTATACCTCAAGTGGAAAAGTTTAGATATTTGGGAGCCATTATTCAAAATGATGACGAAATCAGTGGAGATATTTCACATAGAATTCAAGCTGGGTGGTTTAATTGGAGAAAAGCTAAAGGAGTTATTTGCGACCGTAAGGTGCCTAATAAACTTAAAGGAAAGTTTTATCGTACTGCTATCAGACCGGCAATGTTATATAGTAGTGAATGCTGGGCTCTAACGGGACAGCAAGAGCATAAAGTTGGAATAGCAGAGATGAGAATGTTACGATGGATGTGCGGACATACACGTAAAGATAAAATTCGAAATGAGCACATACGTGAAAAAGTGAGGGTGGCACCTATTGAGGAAAAAATGGTAGAAAATCGGTTGAGATGGTTTGGGCATGTACAAAGAAGACCAAGGGAGACACCAGTGAGAAGAGTGGAACATATAACTTTGAGTCCGATTAAGAGAGGTAGAGGAAGGCCTAAGAGAACACTCTTGGAAGTTGTTGAACGTGATCTCTTAATTAATAATATTTCTAAAAGCTTAATAAATGATAGAGCACAATGGCGTCTTGCAATCCATGTAGCCGACCCCACCTAGTGGGATAAAGGCTTGTTGTTGTTGTTGTTGTTGTGTGCATGAATTTTGTATGTTGGAATTATTCTAAGTTCTTGCATTATTAACAATGGTCAGGATGATTTGAGATTTGATTCACTTTTATAAAATAATAACGAATAATGATAGTGCCATTCTTGGCATTGGGCCGGGGCTCCTTTTTTCATTTTGACGAACCAGGAAATTCCATTATTGGAAGAAAGGCCCCAAAGCCACAAAAGTTCAAAGTGCACCAAGATTAACGAAGAACAGAAGCTTCTCTTATCAATTCTCATATCAGAAACTAAAAGATCAGCAAGAGGAGTGGGAGTTGAAAGATCCATATGCCGCTCCCCATCACTCTTGAGTTGAAAAATCAGTAGCTATAGATTTCTCACAGGATTGACATTGCGGCTACTTGATTCATTCCAATTCATATTAACTTATACTAACAAATTGATAACTGTAAAATAGCTACCAATGAGAAAAGGGGGAAAAAGCTATTTTGTTCCCCTAATTTTATTTTAAAATTTTACACAAATCATTTTGTTTATTTAGCAAATATTTTAATTTAAATTATCAACTTTACTATTAGTCTAAATATTACTATGATTTTAATTAAACATATTTCTCTTTTATTACATAAAATTTAAGTCGTTTATAAATATTTCCACCCCTTTTAATTTCGTATTACATATTATTAATACATTGAAAGTGTCGAAATTTTGATTTGTTAGATACTCAAATTTTGGTTTGAATTAAAATAAGTAATGGAATAAACTCTAGCTTGTCTCAACAAAATTAAGTTGACAAATATAATATTGAGATGCTCATAAAAAATAAAATAAAATTTATCTGACATGCTTAATTAATTTGTATTATTAAATAAAATTATAAGACGAAAATATTTATCAATGACTTCCTCCAACCTCCATGCACTATTTTCTCCATTTTTTTTAACTATTCTTGTACATTTATTTGGTTTCATTTTTATTATTCTTTTAATATTTTTAATATATTTTAACAGAATTTAAAAGAAATATAATTTATCTAGCTAATTTGGAAAAAAAAAAAAAAAAAACCAGAAAGCAAGCATTGTCTCTTGAGAAGAGCATGGGAGGCAAATTAACGACGCGTTTGCGCTTTAAGATTTTCAGAGTTGTCTCGGTTCAATTAGGCTGCCTTAAAGTTGAAACCACTTTCAATTATTTTCTTCGTTTTGGTGATTTCAATTTTGACGATGGACGAGTTATTGTTAGCAATACTCTCCATGCTTCTAGCAGTTGGATTGATTCCACTGTATCTATGGAAATGCCATCAGGATTCTCGTTCACCTCCTGCACAGGATGAACCGCAACAGGTTACCCACCGAAGTTTCGCATCGAGTTTTCGATTCTTTATTTAGGGACTAAACTTCAATTGAAGCTAAACAATCTGGAAGAATTCTTAGATTTTTGTAATGTGTTGACTTGTCAGGCTCCTCAAATGAACACTGTGGTTCGCGCCACTGGTACTCGTCGGATGCGTCGAAGAGCAGCTGCTTCTGGGGCTAGCTCTTCATTACCTCCTGCAGCAGTGGCAGAAGGTCTGTCATATTGTTAATCGTTCTTATTCTCATCTTTCGTTTTTGTTCCCATTGATGTGTTAAACGGTGGAATTGTGAACTATTGTGAAACTGTCGATTTACAGTAACTTAAGACTGCATTTTGATGCATGCATTTTGGTCATTGGCGATGGGTTTATTTTTTATTATTATTATTTTTTTCAAGGGGGACTTTTTTTTTAATTACTTTTTAGTTCGTTAAAACTCAACACGTAAATAAGGAATCAATTGTGATGACCAGTGAAGTGATATCTACCGCAAAGACCACATAATCTTATGTTGCTGTTATTAGTTAAAATGTAGTGGTCACAAGTCACAAGTCACAAGTGTGATTGGGTGTTGAGTCATTGTAGGTAAACCGTAAACATAACCAAAAATGTTGGCAAAAAAAAAAAAAGGCTTATATCATTGAAATATCCCAAAATATATACAATTGTTGATCAGGTACAAATTCATGCATCTCTTGATAAATTATTGAATTATGAACTTGAATTCGCTTGATATATGTTGAAAACTGCTCAAATATGATCTGGGAAATAAAAAGTGCCTGCACTTTAATGTTGATATAAATGTCAATTCCAAATATATTTTTACATCTGGAGTCTGCAATGTGCTCAAGAGTTTGGTCAAGAATTGGATGAAGAAATGTGAATTTTGTTCTTCTACTTTGTGTATATCACAAATACTTTTCCATGGAATGTGAAAATAACGTCTGACTGATGTATTTGACTATATGATGATCTAATCACGTGATAATGTGCTCTGTTGGTCTGTACTCTATCCTCTTTCTTCTATGATGTTCGGTTTAATCAAAAGCTTCTGGCTTCTACACATAATAATGAGATGCAAAAGGATATGTATAGATAGAGCTGAGAATGGCATTCGTTAATATGTGAATTATACATGTGAATAGAATCTGTAGGTGAAAGTGATGATGAAGCTGCTGGTAATGGGTATTATGAGGCTAAAGTGTCAAACAAGAAGGAGAAGAAACGAGAAGAGAGGGAAGCACGGCGACAGGTATGTTTCCTTTTGATGATGCTTGGATTTTTGTTTTTGGGAAGAAAATAAATTATTTTAGGTTTTAAGATATTAGGATTAGGATGATTATTAACACCTGCTTTTTGTCATTTGGTTCACACCTTGTATGTTGAAATGGTGAAAGAAGAGGCCATAATTGACATTTTTTGGGATTGAAAAAAATGTTATATGTGATTGAGACTTTATTAGTACTTTAGTACTTTCATTTCACATATTAGTGTCTACTTACCCTGCAAATCAGATGTTTGTCATAGGTTTTAAACACGAGAGACTTTTCTAATCAGTCATGGGTAACATGCATCTTTTTACCAGAGGTTGGGTAGAGGAGGTTGTTGAAACAGTTAATCTATTTGTGGTTGTCCATTAATTCCTTAAGCTACTGGTTTTGATCGTCTGCTCTTATTTGTTAGTTTCTTCTCGGTTTTCAATATCCATTGAAGTTTAAGTAGTCATCCGTATTGTATTCCATTTTATTGGAAGGCTGAAGAAGCTGCAAGAGAATCAAGGCAGACAAAACAAGACCGTTATGCGGAGATGCGGAGGAGGAAGGATGAAGAGCATGAGGCCCAGGAGCGTTTGCTGGTTAGCTAATGGTCCTGCTCTTGATTTGATTTTTTTTTAATTTATTTTCTTATTTTTTTGTTAATGGCATGGTTCATACAGGAAGAGGAGGCCAAAGCTCAGAAGGCTAGAGAAGAGGAAGCTGCTGCATTAGAATTTGAGAAGTGGAAAGGCGAATTTTCAGTTGATGATGAAGGTACCCTTGAAGCTTTAGACGGTAATCAAGACTTGCTTGCAGACTTTGTAGAATATATAAAGGTATTTCTTAGTCCCTTCCTTTGAGATTATTTCTCCCCTTCCTCTTAGTAAATGTTTAAACTATTATCTTTTAGCTTGGCATCGAAGTTTAATAGTTAAGAAGCATGGATATCCGTTGTCACTTAAAGTATGACTGGCCATTCTAACATGGATTGAGTTCATGTGTAATCATTCAGAAGCAAAAATGTGTTCCCTTAGAAGATCTTGCTGCAGAATTCAAGTTACGGACTCAGGTACTCCTCTATATAAACGAGCCTTTCTATTCCCTCTTTGGCTCTTTCTTCCTCCTTTTGTCTTGCATTAGATGTTGCAATACGCTTTATGGGTGAGATGGTTCTACTTATAATCAAGTGGATGCGTCTTTTCTACTTTTGCATGTTATGATGTGTTTCAAGTAATTTTATTTGTTCTTTGTTCGACTCTATTTTCATGTTTAAATTTATGAATTAATTTTTCTAGCACTTAATATACGAGTATTCTGTTCTGATTTTTTACATGGTCTAAGTTTTTTGATGCAATCCTGAACCGATGCAGGAATGTATCAATCGCATTACCTCCTTGGAAACTATGGGTAAGTGTCTTGTACTCTTGTTTTCCGTACCTTTATCTTTCTGGATTTTTTGCCCCTCTTAGTTGGACTCATGCAAACCAATTCCCTATGTTGGATGGCTTAATTATTTGCAAGGGCAATTAAGGGATTTTATTTCCATATTATGTAGAATAGTCTTGATCAATCTGGAGCCCTTCTAGAAGTTTTGAAATGTTATGTTGTATCCTATCCTCACTTGCTATGAGCTGTCTCTCACTGACTGACTGCTTTTATTATGTTAGGAACTGATTCTGGTTATCACCTGCTACAGCTTATAACCAGCACTGATGCTGCCGCTCCTAATTTTTTTTTTCTATTATTTCAAAACTACATCATATCAACAATTCTTTATTCAGTGTTTCATCTGACGTAGTGTTCTACAAATCAATGATGTTACAGCAGTGTTTCACATTTTCACATCCCTACAAAAATTGAGATTCTTATTCACACCGGTTATTACCGGTCTTCTGCTTTCGTTGCCAGGATATATAATCATGGATTAATTTTGTAAACCAGGTCGGATTTCTGGTGTCATGGATGATAGAGGGAAATATATTTACATTTCAGAAGAAGAGATGAAAGCTGTTGCTGATTATATTAAGCGGGAAGGAAGGGTTAGCATTTCCCTCCTGGCTAGTAAGTCCAACCAGTTCATTGATTTAGAGTCAAAAGCCCAGTTCACTGAGGATTTCAGTAACGTGGAGGAGATTTCCGTCAACTAACACGTTTGGTCACCTGGGTAGCGGAAATCGTGGAAGGTAGGTCAGGAAAAGGGTGCTGATCATGGTAACTGTGATTGCAGCCAACAATGAGGTGGTGTCCAAAATTCAAGTTTACACTATACTTGCTAGTTGCTAATTTTGCTTGGGGTTTGATTCGGGAGTTTTTAGTATTTTGGGATGTAACACTACAGTTCTCCGCAAGTTATGCTGTATTACGACTTGATATGGGGAAACATAGTGTAAATTGTATGTATCTTTTTGTTGGTTGTCGTGCTTTTTTTTTTTTATTTACATTTTTCCTTGTTGGTTGTCGTGCTTTTTTTTTATTTACATTTTTCCTGAAATTTAGATAGTATCAATATGTTTATTTTAAATAACTTGTAATATTTCTATCCATTTTTGTTGTAGTTTAAAATTTAAGCATCGAAATTAATTTTAGCCCATAAAAGTCTCATTTGGAAGCCCCCTTATGTCAAGCCTATAAATAGGGCATCCTCAACATTTTTCTATGTGAATGCATGTTACTGGCATATTACAATTTACAAAGGATTCATAAACGGCAGCGCGGGAGGGGTATGGTCTTCTTTTCATGTTTGTTACTTTTGGCTCATTTTTATTTTGTACTTTATCCAATAGATTATTCTGTGAAGGAAACTGTTTCCGAGTGAATGAATTTATATCTTCTATAAAATATACAATTTACAAAAAGAAATACGATATTTATAAAATATAAACAATACACCTCGCGTCAGATTCTATAATCGATCGCCGATCTATTTTATACAAGCAAGAACAAAAATGGAAGGCAAATGAACAATTACTTCGAATCTTCGATAACAGGAATGGTTATTTCATCTATCATTTTTTCCCTTTTGCCATGTCAAATATGTTACAAAGTAAATACAGTGAAAAAAAGTCTGCAGAAAAAATCTCGTATACAGCTTTTTTATGTTCTTCTGAGTATACCAAAAAAAAAAAAAACAATACAATGAATTTCACGTACAACAGCTGTCGCGGCGAAGAAAATATGGCTGAAGCCATACTTCAATTCAGAAAACTGGAACCGAAATTTGATGAGCAGAACTATTATTGTCCCTCGTGGAAAAATAGGGTGCCGGACCGGAAAAAACGAATGGCTTAATCACCAACAAAAAATTGATGGGTTGCATACCATGCTATGACTTATTGGCGTTAGCCTGCAGGCATTACAACATTTTGTTCAGGGCATAAATAAAGGAAATGGAAAGGGGAAAGAAGAGACTAATTTTTTTATTAGATTTACATGCGGTTCCCTATATCTTTACTATTAGATTCTTCAATCAACAGAAGAAATGTATGATTTGATTGAGGACAATACATTTGTCCACAAAAATTATATATTTTAAGGAGGGCTACAACATTTCTCTTACACTAACGATACAACAAACTTCATGCAAGTTTGTCCATTTTTTTGAGTGTGAAGTCCAAGAGGATAATTCAGGAGTGTCTTTAGGGCGTATAGATCATCAGAATTTTGGTCTAAACAGGGACATTAGTTGGGCTTGTAAGAGATTAAAGTATTGGAGATTACGGTAGGTCCACAATACAGGAAATTTAGAAAATTGAGAGGATATACAATGTCAGAAGATGATGTTCAGAGCACGCTACCTTTTTCAAGTATTTTCTGTGAAGTTTCATTGCCCCAGTGCAAGCTTTTTTGGCATCTAATTTTCCGGTCATGTCATTCAATATCTAAGAATGCCAAAGAAGTTAAAAAGCGCAGAAAGGGGAAGCAAATTTCGCTAGATGAAAGAAATATACATGTCTCGACAGTTGACACCCAACTCATACAATGGAATCAACAATGCAACTCAGTCATGGGACTAACCTTGACAACATCATCCAGGCCACGTGCTTCCTGCATTAGTTTTGAGCTCTTATCTTTCAACACACTGGCAACAAGGAAAACAGATATGGGAAGAGGAGCATCAGCAGTCTTTGCAGAGTTTTTCATATTTTCTCTCTCAAACTTCCCACATTGACGTAATGACTTTGTTCTCCCTTCAGTAGATCTCTCAGATTTTTTAGAAACTGATTCAGGCTCTTCATAAATCAAGAACAAGTCAGGATCATATTCCAGAGCCCACATCATCTGTTCAAATATCAAGCATTTATTTATCAATCATCATGTAGTATGAGAATACCCAGAGTGATAACATTATAAATCGTGGAGATGACAGTAGTTCTTCAAGCATAACTTTGATATGCAGAAACAGCATCAATAAAAGGCTAAACATACCTCCCAAAGGTACAAAGAGTCACAAAAGGAGAATTCACGACGAAACAAAACCATAAGCATCCGAAAAGCAAATAGATAGTCACCTCCACCAAGAGCCTCTGCACTCCAAGATTAAAAAAGGCAAAAGATTGATACCTTCGGATTTCCAAAAGCATAACATTAATTTATAATTTGGCAAGGATATACAATAAATTTCCGACGAGTAATGTATCCAGCAACTCTGACATGACAATATAACTGTATTTGCGATAAAGTTGTGACTCTAATAGTTATGACTGTTGAACTAGATAAACAGTCAAGTCACTTATAATTGATTGAAATATTGAATATCTGGTCTTAGCCACTTTGTGATCCAGGACTAAAATTTGACCTTGATAATATTTGGTTCTATGCTCAAGGACGTTTTAAGGAGGTTACTCTTTGAGATCTCTTGCGGCTCTTTGCGATAGTCATCTCAAAACAAATTAAACAAAGCCACACGTTTACTTCGCAGAATATCTTCATTGTTTGAAAATAAAATAAAACATAAAAGAACAAGTGCAAGAAATTACCTATATGTTGATGAAGTTTTGGATCAATGACTTGAGTAACTGACGCCAAATTACTTAGTTGAGCCTCCACCCCAACGGAGTTATTGGTGCATCTGAAATTTCCTCGCTTTGAAAACCCAAGATAAGCAGCATATCGTGAGAAGTTGAGATAAAGTTGAAAACCCACAATACTGAATCCAAGCATTATAGCATTAAAGAAAAGTATTGACCGATTAAAGAATGTAAACTAGTGGAATTTTTAAAAAAGGAGGTGAATTTTTAAACAGCAAACAAACCAAGTGATATAACCGTATCTCCTTAAGAAATATGCATTCCAATTACATTACAAAATGATCAGGAAAAGGGTAAATATAAGAGTGAAAATATAACAATTAACTGCAAAAAGATCAATCATAAATAATACTTCACAACGGAAGTAGATAAGCTTCCTGTGCATTTCACGGAGTTCAGAAAATGAAACTAACAGTTTGTGAATAGTGAACTCATTTCAGATTTTATATTTTATATTGAATATTGATCTGTTGTACAGGATTTTTTGGAAATTTTTTCATATAAAAAAATTAAAAAAGAAATCAATCATAAAATAGCGAGTCTATTTACAATATAAGTTTACCAATCTGCGCATCAGACGCTCAAAGCACCAAAATGCATCAGCTTCATCATTGAGAAGAATTACCATGGGGGAGCAAAGGTCACTCATTCCTGCTCAAAATGCCATGTTCAGAGAGGATATTATTGCCAAGTGTTGATATTCACTGGTGAAATCTAACAGCTAAGAAAAATTGGAATATTAAAATAGTATGAATATATGTGTTGCCAAGGACCACGTCAACACGAAAGCTTGAGATATCACGTAAAGTATGTCAAATAGTTTCATAACAATCTCTAAAACTCCACCAGACAAAGCACAGGACCATCAAAGTCCTAACAATCTGATCACAGAGATTCTGATACCACACCAAAGTCTAATTCATCTCAAAAGCTTAAGCTAGTAAGTGAAAGCCAATAAATAGTTTTATAATAATCTTTTTCTTGTGCAAAAGTGGTAAATCATGCCAGATGGATCGTACAAGTGAGCACCTACCTTGACAATAACCCACATCCATGTCTATCCATGCATAAACAGCAAGAATATCCCACAATTTTGACAAGTTCTCTTGCTTCTCATAAAAAACCAGAGTTCTATCAGTGCGAACCACATCAAGACCTGAAATATTGTTTGTGTGAGAAGGAAGGTTATGCATCAGGTCAATCATATTTTGGCGACAGAATTTAAATTTACTACATGACAAAGAGTTTCAAAAGAGAACACCGTCTGAGCATGATACTTGGATTAAAGAAGTCAGGATCAAAGCCAACTTAGTCATTCCATACAGCGCCAGTACAAAATCAGTTTTCATCAATGCATTCTAAACATAGTTCTGACAATCCCATGACACATGGTCATACTATAAAGAATGCAACACACAGAGCAGTTTACACTATAAAATTTAAACTGGGTAGCTCAGGGGATTCAGCATTCCAAGAAGTTTAATTCCCTATGTCAGTGAGCATTCATATGGAAAATAAATTTAGTTTCAGGAGATATACGAAGAAATGAGATAATGATTCTTCTTGACTGTTAGACTATATATGGCTAAAAACAAATAATCAAATAATTAACAAAAAGGAGTGTTATAATAGACAATGAAAGGAGAACAAAATACGCACAAACCTGTTTGATGAAGAGTTAACATCCACTGGATTACTCTCTTGTCCATCACCTTCTCTAACTTATTTGCACTGCCAGTACTTGAATCATTTATGCCATTTTGAACAGGGACAATCACTCCCTTGTCTGGATTTGTTTCTAACAACACCAACGGATCTTGAATTGGCTGGCCATCTTCTGTGATCACAGGTGCTGTAATAAATTTACCACTTCCAACAAGTGGAAACAACTTGCGGCAATCTTCCTTGCACTTAGCATATTGTATCCTGAAACATGGCTATTTGTTTTAAGGCATTACATGCATATGATGACATATTATAGATACCCTATTACATTCTTAGTTTAAAGGAAGAACTTAGTCATAGGAAAGTGAAATCCTGTCTAACTTTAAAATGTTATAGGATGCAAAGGGAAAGTGGCGGTAATGGGGGAAGGCAGAAGAAGGATGTATGATCATGAAGGATAAGGACATCAAAATTATTTGAGCCCCTAAAAGTGACATGGGATCTCAGTGTTGCCATTGAATGCTACTTATCAAGTAAAAAATGGGAAAACACATTACCTTCGTCGCTGTCTTATCTGCTCTCTTTCATCAAATGTACTTTTTGGATCATAGCAGCCAAGTAAAAATTCCCAGACTTCTCCCCTGATTGATGGATGGATTCCCTGCGTTGTAAAAATTAAATAAATGGGCAGACACCAAATTTCTATTAATCTGTTTATGACAATAGAAAAATGTTTAAAACAAATGAAAATAATAATAAATATTAAAAAATTAACCTGAATCATTACATATTCTGCCGCACGGTAATTTCCCAATTTTGGTTTTGCTAGCAAATTTTTTGCTATCTTAACTGAAGCAAGCAATGCATTTTACATCTACACTTAAACCAGATTCAAGAATCTTATATGAAGGCTTATTTTAAAAAAATGAGTTGTCCGAAAAAATATTTTGATTTCCACCATCATAGATTCCAAAGCACGTATGCACACCCCCACCTCTCCACAGTCACACAATCGTCAGCAGACAAATACCAAACATCTTATAATTACAAGACAGAGAAATAACCTTGGGTTTTTCTGAGTCCAACATTCTAGAAATAGCTAATGCATCTGATAACTATGTAACACAGCTGGAAACATGACACAGACTGAATATTTATAGAAGTAGCATTTAAACTGTAAAATTGCAATTACCCCTTGGTAGATTCGACTCAGAGTCTTGCCTATATCCAGATGCCCTTCAGCATCAAATGCAGAATGCCATTTCCTTGAACTTAGAGTTCTACCTGCCTGAATCATTAAAAATAGGGCAAAGAAGTTTAAATTTGAAGAATATGACACATATATTATAAGATTATAAATGTGAAAGTTTTTGGCTGAAGGCATATGATTTACATTAAGGTGTGGGCTCATGTAAAGAAAAACATGTCATTTAGTCTTTTCAAATGATGAAAAATAAGAAAATTTAACCACTGGATGATCGTGATGATCCACTATAAATCACCTTATGCAATTTATCCTTAAACGGATTTACTTCTTTCAAAGGTTTCAAACTCATCCAACAAAGCAGCAACCAACTGATAATTCATTCATTTGGATATGTTGAATTACTCAACTCAGTAATAAAACACCGAGCTCCACAAGCTCAATGGCTTACAGAGATGATAAATTAGCAATTAACAATCAATAAAATTAAAGAAAACCCAACATCATTAATTGACATGACCAATGCATTCGAATTAACCAATACATAAAAACATTTTTCATCCGAGATCAACATCGGTTGCGGTTGTACTTCACAAAATCCATAACACACAAAAAGATTCACCAAGCTAGGATACTCAATATCAAAAAGGGAAGGGAAAGAAACAGACCTTGATCTTAAATCGAGTTTTCGGGACATCGTCGGCACACTCGGGGCGGATTTGGTAGAAAGAATCAGCAGGAGTGCCACTATTTTTCCACATCCCAAATCACCAAAATAGCTCTAAACAGAACACCACGACTGTAAATCGATGCTTTTCAAATCTAAATGTCCTCACCAGCACTCTCGAGCTGGATCCCTTGGAAAAGATCAGATGAACTCCTGAGAGTTTTTTCTTCTTCCCCTCCTTTTCCTATACAACTCTGAACTCTCTTAGGAGAGCAATTCAAAAGAATCCAATGCCAGACCAAGCTCTAAAACTAGAAAAAAAGAAAAAAGTAAAGAGACTGTTAATTTTTCCTCCTCTGTACTATTTTCTATTTAGATTCCATGGTGTTTTGGGGTTGGTAGTGTGGGGGTCATGATGTTTAAAGGAAGAGGGCGAGTAAGTAATACCTTGTCAATGGAGAGAGAGACATCGCCGACCTTACGACCCCTTCAATGGCAGTTTAATGCGTTAATTTACACAAGTTCCTTCTCTCCTTCGTTCTTTGTCTCTTCTCCATCCCATGAATTTCTATCTTTGTGAATTTTCCTAACTTCCAATACCAATCAAAGCCTTTATTTATTAATTAATCTCTCAGATTTCACGCCTTCTTTACGTCTAGTTTTACAGGTATTTGATTGACATATCCCCACCCGGAGGTTTGGATGGTCACAGATCGGAAGGCAGCAACCCAGCTGGGACCTCATGTGGACCCGCGAGACTTGGTTTGCTTGTTCACGACCAGCTTTCCTGAAGACTCAGCCCAATCGGATTAAGGAAACAGTCAAACCTCCCACACTTATTAAAGTCGATCTACATTTTGTGGTATTTGATCAAATATTGTGGTTCTAACGTGTTGCTCTCTTATTCTATTTATAAATTATTTTTAATATTTTTATTATAATAAAAAAATTTAAATTATTAACATTATTTAAAAATTTAATAAATTGTTAGCTATTAAATATACCTACTTTAAAATAAAAAATTCTAGCATTTAAAATTTTTTTTAACATTTAATATGAGCAAAGTAATAAAGATGAATATGATAATCATTGAATTAAAATGCCTTATAAGTAAGACTAAAACCAACACACACTCTTTCTCCACCCTATAGGACCAAAGGAGTACAATGTTATGTTAATTAAGTTTTTAAAGTTTTCAAAACAAAAAATTCATTTAATTATGTCAGTTAATTTATTCATTGACACTTTGAATTAGTAATTCAAATAAGTCTGTCTAAATATCCACACGCCAAATGCCACGCTTTGAATTATATATATAGTTTTTTATTTGTTTTGAAGAGAGAAAAAATTCATTCCATTAATTCCATGCTTCGCTTTCCGCTGATTTAAGTTGATGGGTTTTGTTTTAGTGGGCTAGGGGTATTGACACGAGATATTGGATAGCTGAGACAAGATGGGCCGAGAAATGGAACTCTCGCTGTCGTTAATGGTTATCATACGACCATGATTTGTTATCAAGTTTCCTGGCCCTGACAGAAGACCCTTTTTTTTTCGTTTTTTTTTTAACATCACCTTGATTTGAATTTGACCCTCGATTTTTATCTTCATTTTTTGTTTTATATGGAGATAAAAATCGGGGGTCTTTTTCTTTTTGAAAATTTTATTCATGAATTTATTGATAGAAGAAATGAATCGTACTTGAAATGTCTTTTAATCCTGACAGAACATATATCACGTTATATTTCTATTATTCTAATATAGCTTAGAAATTATTTTTTCCTGCTGCAGCAGATTAAAAAAAACTGTTATTTATATTTTTTTTATTTCTTTTAAACTGTAATTCAACTAAATCTCATAAGTTATTGGAGTGATTTACTCAAGTAGTAAAGGAGAAGGGGACCGAAATCAATTCGATGTATTGATAAAGTTGTTTAAAGTCGGTAGTGAATATGGAAAGTGAGAACCATCACGATGAGCCAAGTATCTCAATGCTCACTGGTAAGACCATATTATTGTCATGCATATGTAAAGTCAGGATTTTACCTTTTCTTTGAAAGAAATCTGGAAAAGTTTACTTCATATAAAGTAGATGACACTGAATGCCGATCGAAGGCGAAACAAGCACTGGAAGTAAAAAGATTTTTGCTTTTTTAAAAAAAGTTTCTGTACTGTAATATTCTGCCAGATATTGAGAGGATCCATATCCTCAATGCACATAATTGCCGACGAGGGAAAAGTATAATATAATAAGGATGATGACAAAGATAGAGTTGTAAGATGCAGCCCCAAAGCTGAAGATATGAATATTCTTATAACAGTGAAGCAAAGCATAAACCCACACTTCAAGTTACATCGATCCAAACAAGTCACACAGTCACAATAACCCTAATGCATATGGGAACAGAAAGTTAGCTAATATGCTTGGCACCAGAATCAAAGTAAACCCTAAGCGAAAGGCAGAATAAGAAAAAGTTGCAGAAGCTTCAATCCCATGGTAAAGCTTCATACAACTGACACCTACTTAAACCCCTTCGTGTTGTTCCAGTTTTTGTCACCATCCATCCCTTCTAATCCCAGCGTTATAGACAGAACTTGCAGCGATCTGCTCATTTGCTTCTCTGATTAATTACTTCTCTCATTCAATGGCTAGCATGGTTTTATACAACGTGGGATTTTTGTGCTTGTTAATGTTGGTCCATAAGGGTGGTGCCTACGAGTTCGTTGTCGGTGGCCAGAAGGGATGGAGCGTCCCAAGTGATCCCAATTATAACCCCTACAATCCATGGGCTGAAAGAAGCCGATTCCAGATCGGAGACTCCCTGGGTACGTAGCTCTTCATTTATGAAACTGTGTTTTAATTTCGATAATGAAAAGGGTATTCATAAATTAAGAAATATTGCAGTGTTCAACTATCAATCAGGACAAGATTCGGTGCTTCAAGTGAAGAGCGAAGACTACGCCAATTGCAACACGAACTCGCCTATTGTAAAATACTCAGACGGCCACACAGTGGTCAAGTTTAATCAGTCAGGGGCTCACTACTTCATTAGTGGGAAAAGAGAGAACTGTCTCAAGAACGAGAAGATCACCGTCATCGTCTTGGCTGACCGGTCCGGCCGTTCCAACACTACAACCACTTCTCCTCCGCCTTCACCTTCATCACCTTCACCTTCACCCACCGGTCAGCAGACCCAGTCTCCACCGCCGTCCGCTTCAACCCCAACTCCTTCTCCTGCAAGTGATCACACTCCTTCGCATAATGCTGCTTCTCCTCTCTTCCTCTCCTTCGCCGGATCTGTTGCCGCACTCGTCGCTTCCGCCACCCTCTCTTTAAATCTCTAATTAGTTACATGGAGTGCTTGCATGTGGTGCGAGTGATTTTAGTTTTTCTTTTTTTTAATTTTTTGAAAACTTTTTAATTTGTGGGCATTCGTTAACATGTTTTGTGGTGGTGTCTTAATTAAGTCCAAAATCATTGTGATGGTGTTTTATTTTTATTTATTATTTATTTTTTTTTTGTGACATTTAACAATAAACGGGCAAATGTATTGTAAAGGTTTTCAATGAAATAAAACCATTCTTTACTTGTGTAATTATGCTAGCATGCTTCTCTCTACCTATCTACAAGATAAAATGACAATTTAGTCTTAGATTAGTGGCCTAGGAGTTTTCCTAGACCTTTTTTTTTGGCATTTTTATTCTTAAATTTTTTAAATAGTGATATTCTCTCCGCTACTGTTAACTTTAATAGTTAATTAACTAAAAAATTATACAAAGTAATCTGAAAAATTTTATGAAACTAAAAAAAATCATAGAAAAGACCTGAAAATTACACAAAAGGATAAAAAAATAAAATTTGTAATTGTTGGGTTCTTCTTATAATTTTTCAAGCCATTTTTTGTAATTCTTTTGTCAACTTAACTGTTAAAGAGGGAGATTGCCACAATTTTAAAAGTTTAAGTGTGAAAATATATACACCAAAAACTTGTTTAGGATATCAAATATTCTTAAGCCCATAGTTTAAGTGCCAAATTACTATTTTACCCTTGATTTTGTATATGAAACCTCTAATATTTTTTTTCTCCTTTTACTTTCAAGGCCCCGCAAATTATTTTGTATGCCTCAGACGCCTGTCTTCATTCAATTAAAGTTATACTCTCTCTGTTTTTATTTATAAGAGAAACTATCACTTTTAACTTGTTTTTTTATATAAGCAAACCTACATTTTTTTAATAAACATTTATTGCAAACATTTTAAATTATCCCTCATAATTTTATCATTCATGGTCATAAGAGACTATTAATGAAGGCTTGATTAATACAATTAGTGAAGGGTATTATAGTTTAATTTTTTTTATTTTCAAACACAATTAATATAGTTAATTGATTTTCTTAAAATGTGTAATACAGTTTTTTTCTCCTACAAATAAAAACAGAGAGAGTATTATTCAAACCTTGTGATCCTAAGATTACCCGACGAAGTGTAGATATCAGTGAAAAGAATTAACGAACAAATAATGGTGCATGGGTAACTGTTGTTTGTGTGCTGGTTTTCCCTGTTTTCATGGAAGTCCACGCTAATTCCTCCCATTTGATCCTGCAAGCTAAGCATCAATGGGATAAGGATATATTGTTGAAAATCAATTATATTTGTATCTTTGATAAGAGATAGTGGATGATGAAGCTGTTTTTTGCATTTCTTTTTAATTTGCTTAGTTCTGATTCAAAAGGGGAAAAAATCAATTATAAGTATCAGATATTTATGCATCATTTACATCAATTAAACCCTCAAAATAACCCCCCTAGACAGTTGTGCATAAAAATCCCACAATCACATAAATTAAAAGTATCATTTTCAAGACAATGTTAGACTTATAATAACAAGCACTAACCTAACAATTATCGCTTTAAATACTGGCAAAGCCAACTGTTATATTAATATTAATACTCTTGTGAAGATGCTAGTTAGTAATAAATATATGGTTCAATTGAAGAATACTGAAGTATTATTGATCAAAATTCAAAAGTAGACACTCGTTTACAGTTTTAGAGCTTTATTATGCAATTGTTGTACTTTAGTTGGAGAATTTAGTCTTCAGTCTATGTAATGTAAGATAATTGGCATTACATCGCACGAGCAGCGCATCTGGTGTAGTGGTATCATAGTACCCTCCCACGGTACTGACCGGGGTTCGATTCCCCGGATGCGCAAATGAGGTGATTAGAATTTTTATACTTTTGAATTTTGAGCCTCGCCCTCAGCTGTGTTCAAAACAGTACCACAAGTTTCCAATAGGACAAGCGTCAATCGTGGAGTCTGCAACTTCAAAGACGGAAACCAAATTCACTCAAGTGACAGATAGAGTTTTGTCCATTCTGCAGCTACACCAATAGATACATGCATGTGATACGTCCCCGGGGGGGGGGGGGTTGGGGAAGAGAGAGAAGCTAAACCAGCTATGCATGCATGTCTGCGTGTGGACCCACTTTAAGGGTCATAAAGTCATCTCCTCAGATAATTATTACGTTAGGTGGCACATTTTTAATGTGGGCATCTCTTCCCAAGTTCCAATATGGCGTGGACGAAGATGGCCATGCGGAAACCTCTCTCCATAAATGCTTTTATCTCAATTCAGAATCTGTATATCTTTAGCATCTGAATTAAAGACATGAATATGAAAAACCAGATATATGTTACATTCGCATCGGGATGGCGAAAGTGCCTTTCATGTTCTCTCATTTTCTTTCTCCTGCTTGGCTGGAACCTTCAATTTAGAAAGTGTACACCTAACCAGATAGCTAGCTCTCGTGTGCGTGAGCGTGTCGGTGTTTCCGTGGTTTCTTTACTGATTAAAAGTACATTTTTATTCTTTCATTTTTTTTAAGAGGGCTGACACCCTATACTAAAAAATAAAATACTTGTTCTCAAACTATTTTTTTATAATAAAAAATTCACCTTTTTCAGTGATCCGTTAACGGCGGCAGATATTTTTCTCTTCTAAAATGTAATTTAAAGAAAAAATACCTGACTTATTAATGCAGAATGCTTAGCACTCTTTGAAGGAAAGTAAAAAACCAAATGCAATTTAACCTCTTGAAACATGTAAATGATAATAAAATCTTATAAAGTGTCTTAATTCTCTTCAAGTTTTCAAGGACCTTTCAAACATTAATGATTTTTTGTGAAATAATTAAAATACTCCTAATTTAAAATGAAAAATAAACATTAATAATTACTTTAACTTAAACAATGACTATTTTTTTTAATAATGAAGAACAATCAATTACAACTTCTCGTCTAGCATTTACAAAGGAAAAGTTGTAATTAGTTGTTCATCATTATTAAAAAAAATAATTATTATTTAAATTAAAATAATCATTAATATTTATTTTTAAGTTAAAATATATTTTGCCCCTATACCAGCATGTGTTAACAAGTATAGCATTTTTTAAAATTATTTAAATTATTTTTAAAAGAATAAAAAAAATTTCCATTATATTTCATTTATTAATATAAAATGTTTAACTTTTTTTAAAAAAATATATGTGTGTTTGCGTATCTTGCTAACAACTAATAAGCTTCCTCTTTCATTTCTTAGTATTCAAGAGAGTTGTTGGGCGTTAGTTGAGACCTAAGCACATATTGAGAGCCTATTTAGTTATCTGAAAGCCTATTCATTATCTCTGGAACGTAACAATGGAGGCTATAAGAATTGACGTGTTTATAGGGAAGAATAAATAATTAAATCGTACACACTGTATATCAGATTCCTTTGCATGGCTAATTTTGAACGTTCACCGACTGTTAAATTAAACCTCAATCATTCTAGAGAGATTAGACGCCGAGGCACTTCAATAAACTATACTGGTTAGCGTGTGTTATTAGATACTTTTCCATATTAATCACCTTTTAAAACTATAATTTAGTTTACTTTATACTTCCTCCATCCCTATATATAAAAAATCTTTTAAAATTTTTTCTTTCTCTAAATATAAAAAATTATTAGCATATTTTTTTAATAAATAGATTATTATATTTTTATTAAATTGAAAAGAAAAAAAATAAATACTCTCATTGACTTTGAAAAAATAAATTTATTTTTTATTTACAATAATTAAAAATTAAATTGAAATATTGCTGTGTTTTTAATTAGATAATCAATTTTTATTAGTTTATGTAATTCAATTAAAAATATCTTATATATAGAGACAGAAGGGAATAAGTCACTAGTTGATGTAATTGTTTTATTTCAAATTAAAATTTTTAAACTACCTTTAAAAAATAGGAGAGAGAAAGACAAGATAAATAGTATTATATTATTTGTTTACTTTTTATTTTCTATTTTAGGGCTATATTTGAAATTTTACTTAATTTTATTCTTTATATTTTTATTGTATTGATATTAATAAAATTGGTAGAAATAACTTATAAATAAAATCAAACATATTTATGCCTGACAAATCACTATATTGAATATAATGTTTTAGATTGACATTGGCAACCACTGCGATGGAGAGAGTAGGGCACAGATAAAGTAATATGATAATAAACCTGTGAGTTGATCATAATTGATCTAATATCAGGTTAGAAAAATCATAATTGTAATAGGATTGATTTGATTATGAGAGATGACTTGTTCAAAAAAAAAATGATAGAAGAATCAGAAAATTGATACAAAAATAAAAAATAAAAAATAAAAAACAAGTTCATTTGACTTTGAATAAGTCAAAAATCAGCTTATCTGTACATGAAAATCACTGAAAAATAAGTTAAAAGTGATATTTTTTACAATATTACTGACTAATCCAATCATATTTTAAACATTGTCAAACCCAATAAAAAGTCATGACTCTCCTAGCTATTAAGGTAATTTTTTTTCCATTTAAAATATTTGAATTCTCAATCTTACTTGCAAGGTGCCTAGTCTCTCACTCCGTCACTCGATTCAAATGGCATTCGTATAATGTACTGAGAATAATGATCGCCAATTTGCTCGGGAAAATTGCCACAAATTCCCTCGTTAGGAGGAAAATTGTTTTGAGGGACTTAGACCAATTTAAAAACTAAATGTACATCAAGCCTAGCCTGCATCCAAGTCTGTCACCTTACACTCTAAACATATGACCTTGCAAAACAAAGTCACATGTTAACCTTTAAAAGTCTCATGTAATTTAATTACATGCTTGTGGTCTAAACAATTTGTTTGTGTTATTGTCTTTTTGTACTTTCTTGTAGAATGTCACTTTCAAGGTAATAGTTGAGTTACGTTGTATTTTCATGAAAATTGTACCTTTATGATGTGCAAGAAAAATAAGCTCGGAGTCCTTGGTGTACAAGGTTATATTGGCCTTGCTCCTTCAAAACAATTACAATTTTTCCAATTTGCTTTCCCAAATTCTCCCTGCTAGGTTTGGAGTGCAAGGTTATGGCAATTTTCCCAGTTTGCTTTTCCAAATTTCTTGTGATTTAAAAAACCTCAATTTTCACATAAGCACATGGGTTAGAAACTAGGTATGTTATGGCTTCCGTCTTATAACCCAACAAACTTACAAAATAAAATATATTTAGAAAATTATAGTGTTTGTTCCAACTAATGTAAAGATATGACCAATGTTATTGAACCTGTTCCTCCAATAGTGTGTTCTTTTCTTAATTTAATGTCTCATTAATTTCTTATTAGTTCATGGAAACTTTAATGATGGATAAAATCAATTATTGAAATCATTGAGAGAAGACTAAATTGACAAGGTCATATTTCAAATAAAAAATTAATTTAGTTCAGCGCGTTTGACATTCGTGTAATATTTTAAATTAACTCATTTCCTGTGCGCGTCTGTATTACAATCTGTAAATTATTATGTATCAAAAGTTGAACAAGAAGTTAATTTAAGACGCTTCAATGCAGAAATGGTAAATGGGAATTTATTTTCTTCCTTTTAACCCAAACAAGAATAATATATTTAAAAAATTATATCCAAGGATTCTAACTTTACAAAAACTATTTTTGAGGGATATTATAGTTTAAAATTTAAAGGAGAATTGACTTATAAGTGAAGAATTTATATTTGAAAAAAAGGAGACTTTTATAAATATAGCTCATGTTATAAGATCAAACTAAGTAAACAATTAAATATTTATTATATTTTGCATTATAACCAGTTTATTATATTGGTCAATGATATATTGTTATATATCAATGATAAACTTTTTGTATATTAATATGAATTGGCTATGCTATCAAATTTTTAAAAATTTGGCCCATATTTTTCTGTGCACAATTTTTTTTTCAACCAATGGGTGAATTTATCCCCAAAAAAAAGAGAGAGAGAGTCAATAATTCATTAGAATAAGGCTTTTTGGTTGAATTTTTGTCATCTTTAAATTGGATCATGACTAATTTAATAGGTTGAATATTTGTGATAATCCAATTATCACAGGTATTATGTCGGTGATAATCCAATTAAATAAAATATTATATGAATTGAATTTGAAATGGTAAATAGCCCTTGGTTGAATTACAGCACAACGGGTAACGTCAATTAGCGGAAGGTGATCGATAACGCAGTCGTATCAAATGAAGAAAACATGCTACAGTTGACAATTAACAGTAACTTAATTGTCTAACGATCTTGAAGAGCCATCATACACGCATAGAAGACGAGAGCCCTCTCGTTGACAAAGAGAAGTAGTAAGCTAATATAATTAATTATTACGTGCTTACTTTGGCGTTTGGTTTCTTTAATTATAATATAACAAATAACATTCCTTGTACTCTACTATCTTTCTTGGCTCCCCTTGCTCACGTCAATCCATTAATTTAATGACATTGGCCGAAAAATGCTTAATTAATGTGACACTTGTCAGAATAATTAATCGATATTAGATACAATAAAATAATTATAAAATATAAATATGAAAGACAAGTTAGTCTCATAGTTATTCTCATATTTTTGTTTGGCTTTTGCAGTTAGATGATCTCATTTCTATTTATTTATTATTGAACATTTCTAGTGGGGTGTTTGTTATGTTGAGCTTTTTTTTAATATAAAACAACATTTAAAAATACGTATTTCCAGTTTTCAATGTATTGTGCTTTCCTTTTTTGATGATTCCTGAGTATACCCCTGAAGCATAGAACGGATAACTGATTAAATGTGCTCGCCAGTTAAAATAATAAATTATAAACATAAATTTATAAAATGTTAAAGGATCTAATAATTAAATAGATATTTAGATTATATTGTTGGAGGAAAAGTGATGATCATGAATACAAGTTGATTGCATTAATTATCAATTCATGATTATATACAAAATGGTTTGATTAGAGTGATTATGTTCATAGAGAGAGCGCATGAGTGAAGAACAAATATGAAAGATGCAAAAGTGAAATCAACGAAAATAATTGACAACCACAGACAAAGGAACCAAACAAAGGCCTCTCTTCTTCAGTTCTGTGTAGTCACTTTCCCTTCCCATGAAACCCATTTCCTTCTTCGCCTCTCCCTCTCCTGAGATACTCCTTTTCTCCTACAAAAGCAAAGCAAATTTTTGGAAGTTAATATATGAATCATAATTTGCTAATTATATTGCTACCGATCGAAACTAGCAAACACGCGTGCAAGGATAAACAAAACTGCTGGAATAACAATTTGTTAAACGTGGTTTAATTTTTACCAAAACCGCTGACACACAGAACCATACACATTCTTATAATTAATTAGATAATAATGGATATTAACTTCGTCATGTTTCTTCTCAAAATTTCATAAGACACCCAATGTTTTTCTCTCTTGAAAAATGAAAAAGATGGAAGAAAGAAGGGACTCGTGATATAATCAATTTAGATTCAAACCTCGGAGAGGCGTATGTCTTCCATTCGTTTTGGTTTGTCTGACCGGTTCTCATGTAAAACCTAAAACAAAGATACCATGGAAATTTAAATTTCAGGATCAAGGAATAAATTTTCTACATATTCTGGTAACGTTAGAGAAAAAAAGAGAGGCCGAAATTAAAGAAAAACGAGATGGAAAAGACTGATCACCTTGGGACTGTTGAGGGGAGAACTTGCAGTATCTTCCAAGGCATCATCAACCATAGTTGCTCTGTCCTTCTTCCTCTTTTTAAAACTCAATCTCTTTTTGCCATTTTTAATCCCAGAAAACTCTTCATCGCCTCCTAATTTATTATTCGTGGCAGCCAAAGAAGCAGCATCAGAAAGTAGAGAGGAAGAAGCAACTACACCAGAAGATATATAGGACCTGTCACCGTTAAAGAAGTCCTCAAAGTACGTAGTCCAACCACTCTCCTCATCAGCAACCTCGCTCAAGGAAGGAGCTCTGCTTATTGAACTCATTCAGGTCTCTGCCACAAGAAGAAGAAGATGAAGATGAAGAACAAGAAGAAGAAGGAGAAGAGAGAGTGCAATATTAGTGGGGTTTGGTGGCCAGTTCTGGAGAAGCAAGTGACCCAAAGAAGAATATATAGTAGAGAATATTATATAAACAAAAACAATGAACAAGAGAGAAAAGGAAAATGATAAAATGTGACGATGGAATTTGGAATCTTGCTATTGGTGTGTGGGTCATACAAGTTAGGGGGGTTGAAATTAGCTGGGACAGAAAAAAAGGGAGAGACGGTTTGACCTTTGTGGAGAGAGATAGGGAGTGCACAAACAAAAGATTCGCCAAAAATTTCTATAACATGGACTTAACTTTCCGCTATTGCTTTGAATTAATCACCAAGTCACTCTTTATGGAAGACTTATGTAATATTCTTTCGGTTAAACAGGTCATGTCTTCTTAAAATTGTCTTAGAAGGATCCTTAATTACGATCAATGCTCACCTTAAATTCAGGCTAGATTTAAATTATACTACCATCATTCTTTCTCCTTCATGTCGGTGCTAGCTTTCCCCAATCTATTTATTTCAATTACTCAATTTCTTCTCTGAGAAAGAATCTGACACATTTTTGTGAATCAAATTATTCTAACACCTGGTGACTGTATTAAGAAGGATATATATCATCAATGATTAGAAGCATTAAATCAACTCATCAGAGCACGAAGGTTTTACGAGCTTGCTAGATTCGATATCCAACATATAAAATTTTTTTGTGTCTGTCCTCCACTATGTTATTTTTATGAAAAGTACTTCTGATGTCTTTATAGGTTGCCCCTTCCCCTGCCAATATATGTATGTATGTAAGTATGTATGTATTCATTTTAACTTCTCCTAAAAAAATGCGACAATGTACATTATGCAATAGTTATATTTAATTTCTTGCGTTGCCCGTCCATACCGCGGCGATAATTATTGAAAGAGAAATTAATGAGAGCATCGTTCTATTTCTGCATTTTGAGTTTTCTACAATTTTGGTTCATCCGTTGAAGATGATATATGAACGATGCTTCTTTATTGATGATATTATACATGTGAGGGCGCCATGGATTACCAATCATATATATTTTGAAGTAGGAATCTTCTTCTTCTTCTTCTTTTAAGGTAGACAACTTGAGAGTCTGTTGTTGTTGGCGATTTATTTGAGGACTTGTTTGGTATTTGCTGACGTTGCGTCATCATTATTTAGTTGTCTTTGGCCTGTCCAAACCATACGTCATTATATTGCAGAGAAGTTTACTCTTCTTTCTTCTCTCTGGTCCGAGACTTACTAACCCATGATGAGTGATGACTTTGTTGGCCCACACAAACCTGCTTTCAAAATTTAAATTATTTCATCGCTAATCACATATATGTATATATTACTAGTTTTTGCTGTTAAATTAACACTTTGGTGTTGGGATGGTCTGCGATGAGGTGTCATTTGGTTAAAATGTAAACACGGAAATGGACTCGTATATATTGAATTGGTCTATACTTGATATGATATTAAAGAACTTGTCATCAAAATGGTGGTCCAGCCAATTCTATCTACTAGCGTGAAAATTGACCAATGTGGGGAATGGGGATAGGGATGAGAAATATTTAATATTTGACAGAAAGCAAGGGTATCAATTCCTTCCTCAAGAATCGTGTAAAACATGAATTATGAAACACTGATATAGAAGCGTAGTTAATTAGTATGGCAGATATGCTTTCTGCCTGCGTGAAAGAAAGTACTGTGGGACGAATAACATGCAAAACTATGCACAGAAAATCAGTTTCAGAAAGATGAAGTAACGTTTCTGATGTAAACTCAGCTTCTGAAAAAGAACGAGATACAGGGACATGATCATAAAGGAATGTACCATATCATATATATGATATTACTCACTCTTCTGATCAATTCTTCAAAGTATAATTAAAATTATGGGTCACCATTCAAAAGTCCCTGTCAATATCAAACTAGTGAGCTTTTCATATATCTGAATTAAATTTAGCTTATCAATATATGTCCTCGCATTCACCCAGTATATGTGTAAGCTGATATTATAATTAAAGGTTATTTTTGTTGACCAGGGTTTTCTGTTGCTAATAGCGTAATTATGCTGGAGAAAGTTTTATTTTTATGCAAGATTATTTTAATTTATATCTTAATTCTAGCAATACATGGATAAAAATTGACAGCTAATCTTTCTTTCTCCTCAGTACAATTAAAGAAAGCGAGGCATGCATTGGGATAGAGCCGCGACAGTCAATAGAATTATCATGACCTAACATTAACGACTTAACAACGGTTATGGGCTCTAACGTGAATTGTGAAGCACTTTAGGACCAGACTTAATTAGCTGTGCCATCTCAGTGTTAAAGCCTTCGTATTGCAACCTAATATATCCAAGAACAATAATTTATATATATTGAAATTCTATAATCAAATTAGTTAAAGTCATGCCAATTAAGACATCATTATTGACTTTGTACATATATATACGCTTTATTGATGATTCACAAGTGCAAGATTCGTTTAGATTTTATTCTGATAATTAAATCATAGAGAATGCATTTATTAAAGCCGAGCATGGCCTAGGCCTTTTGAATTCTGATATTTTCTGTTGGTATCGTTCAAATAATTCTGGCTAGAAAAAACCTTTTCTTAATTGGTTATTGGCCTTATCCACGTAAGACAAAAACTTTCGTCATTTTTGTATTCATATACTCTAATAAGGAAATTAAATAAACAATTAGAGGTTGAGGAGTCTCAATGAATTGGGGCATTGTAAGTTGAGACCACTACTTGATTAGTGGGGTCCTAACTAACGTGATAGCAGAAGAAAATTTCAAAATCCAAGTCAAATTCTTTGTATTTTCCTTTTCAAAGAGGTAATCTAACCAGAGATTTTGGTCATATATAGTTAGAGAAATGGCCCTTTCAAGACTTAATTAGCATTATCATGAGGATTATTAGTGAAATGGCACATGGAGCATTCATGCACGTGTGGCCTACCCTACGCTTTTAACACGCCAACATCTACATGTGAAGCCTGTTTGGTTACAATGAACACAAGAAAAAGGATCATCTCACCAACTCTTCATTTATTTCCTGTCCCTTTTCAACTTCTTTTATTTATAGCAGAACGCAAATTTGTAAAGCTTACCTGAATTCTCATATATGCATCAAGAAGAATTGTTTCCTTTTCTTAGCTAATTTCGTTCACCTATATATGCTTTAATTTGAAAGATTAAAGAAGGCTAAGTTTATATATCCACAAAGAATTGGTTTTATTTGGTCAGTTTGTTCACCGATCCCTCATTATTTCTTGCTGCTGATCCAGTAATAGTTATATTTGCAGTGAATCTAGAGACCAGCTAGCCAGCCAGCTAAGAGAAGTATTGCATTATATTGTCGTCTAGATTGAGCCTGCAATTGAAGTAAAGATTTCATGTAGCCTTGGAGGTTTTTTCTTTCAGATATATGGCTTTGAACAAATTGAAGGGAGCAAATTAGGATGCAGAGCTGCACTATAGTACAGATTTGTACATATACATTAATGATTTGAGACTGAAAACATCACATGGGTCACGATGACAAAAGAGTTTTGACAGGAAAATCACCCTCTCCCAAAGAAAAAGACAGAGCATTGAATGCAGTTTAAAATACTGGTAACTTTCTGGGTATTAACCTCGGTCGTCCAAGGTAAATCTAGGTCTACAAACTGTTGAATCGCCAATATTGTATCATTGATGGAAAACCCATGATCCTAACTCATAAGCATTTCATGCCTACAAGAAAGCCCTAGAAAGTTTTGCCACAAGGGTCCAACATCCTTTTTTTTTTTTTCCGGCCAGAGGGTCCCATTTCCATTAAAGCGAAATATTCACTTTCTGATATAGACTTAATTGTCCCCTTGAATTGTTCGCGAACGATGTTGTACGTCGCTCAATAACGTGTAATATATATATAAATGTTCTTAACTATATTTAATTTTTGGTTTCTTCACAGTTGATTTATCTCTATTTTTTTTTTTAAATACAAGACCATAGTAAAAAAATTTATACAGAAGTCAGAAAGACAGCTTAGATTATGTCAACATATAAAAAGCTGCCACAATTATTTAGAGGGATATCAAAAATTTTAAATTTTATATTATCAATATAGGCCTGATGAGTCAGCCAATCAATGCAATTATTTGCATCTCTAAAAACATGTTCGAATATGACTGTTTAGTTTCTTATACCAAGTTTTTTAATTTTATTGATAATTTCAATGAGTGGAAGGTTAATAGAAAATCTGTCATGGATGAGTGTGAATGCTTCAGTGTTAATTTATTTCTGTTGAGAATGGAAAGTTGATTATATGAGCAGGGAAACTGAAAGAGTTAAAGCAAAGGCTATTCATGATTGAGAGTGGACTTTCGCTTTTATTCTGAACGACGTTAACTTGGCTCGCGAGAGAGCGAAGAAACTATATGATTCATTCAGTGTTGTGTGGGGCATCATGGAATACTGCAGGTGAATTGTAAGAGCCAAAATTTTCCTGTTCTTTGAGATTCATTTTTGGGGACTCTCATTCAGGGCCATTGAAAAAATTTGAATGCATGATATGAAATTTCTTTGCAGGCCCAAGGGCCCTTCATGTAATCAAATTCGTGTAATCAAAATTTTAGTTGAAATGTCATAAATATTCTTATTTTTTTTTTAAAAAAGTTTCACCATCATTGGCTGCCAAAGCCGCCACGCTAGCAGCTAAAACTCCATTTATGGTAGGTAGACCACCACCACCAGTGGCTGGAGCTCTGATGCCAACACTAGCAATCAAAATTAAGAAAAAAATGAGTTGCTAAAAAAAATAAAACAAATTGGGTTTTAAAAATTGATACTTTTTTTATACTTAAACAAGTTATGTTCACACATTTTTAAGTGTTTTGTTTGGATATGAGCAACAATATATCTATAATCAATCACAAGTCATGAAAATGTTTGAAAAATAAATTTATAACACACACACATATTTCATTTAACATAATATTGATAACTTGTCAATATTAAAAGAAGTAGTCATAAAAAAAATTAAATAAGTTGGTTTTTAA